GGCCAGGCCCGCCGCCGCGCCGCCGGCCACGCCCAGCGTCAGCGCCAGGCTCGTGCGCGGCAGCAGCGCCGCGCGCAGGAAGGCCAGGCTGTTGGAGTCGGTGCGCGCGTACAGGTGGGACATGAGCAGGAAGGCCTTGCACGCGCCAGGGTCTGAGCGGGGGGTGACGGGGTGAGGGGTGAGCGAGCTTGTATGAGGAGAGGGTGCCTGGGAGTTTGCGACTGGAGGCGGAAACCTTGGATCAGTGCCCCGCGGCATGCGTCCAGATCCAGGCTCCTGGTTCGCAGAGGCGGCAAGTGATGCCGGGCAAGACGGTCGCCACTTCACACCCCCTTCCTCCCCCTCCCGAGGCTCGCAAGCCAGCCCATGCATGTTACCTGCTTGCAGGCGGACCAGCATGTCTTGGGCGGTGGCGGACTTGGAGTCGGTGACCTTGGCCACGAGCTGCGTCATCGCGTACGACATCATGCAATCCACCATGTCGGCCGAAGTCCAATTGTCAGCTGGGGGTTGAGGGAGGGGGGGGGGGGGAGGATGGTGGGGGCCCGAAGGGGCTGGCAGGTCAGGGCAGGCTGCGCATGCGATTGCCCTGACAGAGAACCCCAGCATGCTGCTGTCCGGACCACGCTCGCCATTCAACACCTTTCACCGCCGCTACTTGCTCACATGAAACTCCAGACTTCCCCCTTCCACAATCCCCCATCACCGCACCGAAGCTGGCGTCCCAGTTGTCGTCAGTGCAGCCGGTGGACTCCTGAAAGGTGCGCAGGCAGGCGGTGAGGTGGCCCGGGCGCGACAGGTCCACGATGAAGTGGCCGCGGGACACGCCGCTGGCCCTCACGGACTCGTTGTGCTGAGCATAAGCCTTCTGCATGCTCAGCCGGATGGTGGTCTTGCCGCTTCCCCGCCTCCCGAAGAAGATGTAGGTGGTCTCTGCACGCAGGGCGTGGGAAATGGCTCGCACTGGGGTCGTGAATTCGGATACTCATTCCACATTATAACCTGCTGGGCCTCTTCCTTCACGCACCAGAGGGGGTGAAGCCATGCAGGTCGGAGTGGACGTACAGGGACACCGGGTCCAGGGAGGTCTTCTCGGCGGTGCGATCCACAAACGGATTGCGTGCAAGCCCAAACTGGCGCAGGAGGTCGGTGTGATTGCCCTGGGCCATCCTGACGGACTCAAGTGCCTGATCGCTTCAGCGCATGTGCCGGGACCCCCAACGTCGTCCGAGAGGCTATGCCGACAATGCAGGTGATCTGGCTTTGTGCTTGGAGATCGCATATACCTGCCAGGCATGTGCATCCCGCCTGGCCGGGGCAAGGCCCTGCGCGCATGGTGACGGGGACAGGGTACCGAGAAGAAAGCTGGGTGAAATCTTCTGGCTCTGACGATGTTGTTCAAGGGAGCCTGGGCCTGTCGAGCTCTGACATCCGGGTTACAGCAGCCGCTGTGCTCGAGTTGCATGAAGTAAGGCGTTGTTACTCCTCCGTGAATACACAGCAGAGTGCAGGGGAGCCGGCTCCTGTCTATGCTCCATTGCGGGACCTGCTGGTCGAGTGCTGTAGGAGGCAGGGATACCGAGGCCAGGGCGCCATGAGCGAACAGAGCGCCCTGGCTCCCGTGGCGAACACTGTTGTAGAGATTCTTTCAGACACAGATCCAGAAGACGACGCGCTGAGGATACGGGTGAGTGGCAGGCTCAGGGCGGAGGTTGGGTTTCTTTGCCGGGCATGCACACGCCCAGTCCTGATTCGTGGCTGCCCTACCTGCCTCACACAGCAGAGAAGGGCATCCGGAGAGTTCTCTGGGAGGTCCCACGGCGTTTCGGTGCCAAGCACGGTGTCCCCTCCGCTGCGGATTCGTCGAGTGGTCCCTCCCCGGCCCTCTGTCCATGAGGTGGCCCTCGACGGGTCGCCTCCCGCGTCCCAGGAGGACCTAGTGGTCCTCTCCTCCACTGTAGTCCCCGTGCAGCGCCCCGCCTTCAAACGCCGACGAGAGGGGTCTGGCTGGGGCCCCCTGAAGCTGCCGGCTGTGCCAAGGGCAAAGGCGGCTCCACCTGAACTCCAGCAGGCAATGCTCGACCCCGTGCAGCCTGGGCCCAAGTGCGGCATTTGCATGGAGCCCATGGGAGGGAGCACTGGGAGAAGTATGGCCAGTGGACCTTGTGGGTGAGTTGCTGAGGAGCTTGTGACCAGAGGCTGCTCTGACAAGGGGTGGAACTGGGAACCGCAGAGAGGGGTCGCTGTGAAAGTCAGTCTAGCATGCGGCCTTCCTTCATGCACGCCTGATACCAAGCATGGTCACCACCACCCCACTCCACCACAGGCATGTGTACTGCTCAGCGTGTCTGATGAGTGCCATCAAAACACAGAAACGGTGCCCGACCTGTCGGAAAGGCCTCAACCCACGCCAAATACACAAAGTATTTGTGCAGTTCTAGGAGTTGCGTCGCCACTACAGACTTGGGAGCGCGGGGAGATGTCTCTGCCTCTGTCAAGAACTGATGTAATATAGACAGGCTGAAGCCGACTCTAGTTTGCTCTCCAGGTTGCCCTTCGAGCGCTGACAAACCACCGCCAGATGAGCCGCTCATCTCGTAGATGTGTGACCTGCAGTCTCCCAGACTCCCAATAGGTTTCGAGCTCTCGAGCTGGTAAGTGTTCACCAGGACGAACCTGTTACACCACAGGAGAGTGCATGGCATGATGCATGCCCAATCCAGTCCAGCAAGACATTGAGGGGGAACCGCTCAGATGCCCAGCTTGGTGCGGCGCCAGTGCCTCCGCTTGGCGTTGTACCTAAGCGCGATACGGGGAAGGAGAGGGGTTGTAGACCAGACCTCGGGCCAACGGGGAATAACTCCTTCACCCGGTGGGTGGTGCCCGGGCCTACGTCCCCGGCTACCAGGCTGGCAACGACTCCTCCTCAGCCCACACTCCGCAGATCCCTTGTATATAGTTTCTTGCTTAGGATGCAGCACTCACCGGATCTTGTTGTCGGTCTTGAAGCGGAACCACGGCGCAATGGGCCTGTTCTGCTTGGCCTTCTTGGCCAGCTTCTTCTTGATGGCGAACGACTTCTGGGACGGCTGCAAAAAGGGAAGTTAAAGAGCGTTTTGAGCCAATCACTGGATGCTCTAAGCGCAGTCAGGGCCTCCAGCAGGGTCCCGACCACGCCAGGCCCTCCTTCGAGGCCGCTCGGTGCGCCAAGCTAAGAGCGGTGTGTCTCCGCCCCCCGTATGACCAGCAACGCACCATCTTGACCAGTTTCGCCGGAGAGAGAGGGCACACTGGGGTCGATTTCCTCTATACGAGCACCCTGCGCCATGGCGGCCTTTGCGCGTTCTTTCCTCCTACCTCTCCTCTCCACAGTGTAGGCGCAAGATCGGTGAAGGGGGGAACCGCCCATCCCACATCGAACCCTGTAAAAACAAATAGGGAAGTAATCGTCAGTAGACAACATTATCGATTGCATTACACTGTATATCTCCCTTGGTTACTGGGAATTGCAGGTACATGCTGTTTGGCAGCCATGGCTGAATGCTACTGAGGAAGTCCAAAACTCCCATCACACACTTCTCACTTCCCAATCATCTGAATGGCTATCCCTAATCCCCCTCCAGCAGAAAGACTGCCGAGATTTCATTAGTTGAGAAGTCCATTTCTCTGTAACTTCCTCCTCGATCGTCTGTCCATGTTGGGCCCCACACTCGAATCTTCTCGTCGAATCGCATGACGACGTGACGCCGTGATCGGCGTCGACAAGCCTGCGTTAGGAGGCAATTAGAAGGGATAAGCTTGTTAGTTACTTCCTCCATATCACGCCAATGTCCAAGGCAGTTACACAGTGCGCTCTCACCGCCGGTCCCGACAGCGGGCGCGCACCAGTCCGTGCACGATCTGAGCTGAGGGGTAGGGGTTTTCAGAGCCCCATTCAGCGCCCTGGTAGCAGAGCGCAGTGCATGAGGGGCAGCCTTCGCGTCCGAGCAGGTGGATGCATGGAGCGGTGGGTCGGGGCTGCTCGCCCGGTGTTTATGGGGAATCAGCTCGGTGGTGACCCTGTGCTCCCCATGCGCGCACCCCTCGCAGCCGAGGGCGAGTCAGGCCGACAGCCCTGGGAATTTGGAAGGTTCCTGCGCACCGTCACCTTCTTCAACCCCCTGGACAAGATGCTGAAGGACCTGGTCCGGCTCCCCACCCGCCTGCTGTTCCAGTCCAATGCCGAGGAGGAGGTGCGAGGGCTGCTGCAGCATGTCATTGGAATTGGGGCTTGGTGGAAGGGGTGGCTTCCTCCCTCGCCCGCCTGCTCCTACCAGCTAGCACCTCGAGCCTGTGGCGCGGGTTCTTGGCACCTGATGGCCTTGTGCCGATGACGTCCTACATTCCCCTGAGGCTTGCGTCTCAGCTTTCCCCTGGCGTGCCCCTCCGCCACGCAGTCGCCAGCGCCCTCCGCAGTCAAGCTGGTGAACGCGGGGCGGGAGGGCCCCGGCCCCTCAGGACCAGCCGTCCTTCTCCTGGGCGCCGACAGCGACCTGGGCGCCCGCCTGGCCACGACCCTGCTGGACCACGGCAGGCGTGTCCAGATCCTGGAACCTGCCGCCGCCCCCGCCCTGGTATGTGCTGGGGAGCGCTGGATCCGGGGCAGTGGTTTGTAAGAGGACTGAGGTTCCTGCAGGGAGGGGGAATGCCTGTTTGGTGTGTGCTTACCGCCATGACAACACACCATGCCCTGCAGCCACCCCCCCCCAAACAACCATCCACCCAGGCCTCGCACTCCGCCTCCGGCCCCGGAACCGTTGAGCTGGTGGAAAACGGGAACGGCCTGCAGCCCGGGCAGCTCGCGGACGTGCGCTTTGTGGTCGCCGTCCCCGGACAGGGCGCCGAGCGCCAGCTGCGCGCCGCGCTCTCCGCGCTGAGCGGCGGCGACGTGACGCTGTATGACGCGGCTGCGGGAGCCCAGGGCGAGCCCACCTGGGGCTCGCTGGACGACGTGGTCATGGGCGGCGCCAGCCGCAGCGCCTGGAGCTGGGAGGACGCCGGGGGCGAGGGCGGAGACCGCCCCGCCGGCGTGTTCTCCGGCGAGGTCACCACCGCCAACAGCGGCGGCTTTGCCTCGGTAAGAATGATAAATATGGGGGCCAGGAGGTATCCTGAGCCAGAGGGTGGGGTGAAATGGGTTGTATGTGTTGATGAGCCGAGGAGCGGGCTGCAAGGCCGCATGGGACGTGCGTAGTTGCTGGCCTATATGCCACCGTACCCTTCCCCATGTCGGTCACATGGTCTCATCGCCACCCCTCTTCCCATGCCCCGCCAGGTCCGGACGCGCAACTTTGAGCCGGCGCTGGACCTGCGTGGCCAGACCGGGGTTTCCCTGCGCCTGCAGGGCGACGGCCTGCGGTATAAGCTGGTACTGCGCACAGACTCCAACTGGGACGGCATCGCCTACACCTCGTACCTGGACACCAAGCCAGGTCGGTTGGTCAAGGGCAAAAGGGACGTGGGTCGGGGTGCGGGCCGTAGGGACGCCGACTGTGCCTGGCCGCCACAACTCTGCGCGCCCTGCCGCCTGACATCCACACTGCCTCACCCCCTCTATCTCACTCACCGCCTCTCTTTCCGATGCACGCAGGGGTGTGGGAGACGCACACGGTGCCCTTCTCCAGCTTTGCGCCCATCTTCCGGGCCAAGACGGTGCCTGATGCGCCCGCGCTGCAGCTGGAGCATGTGAACAGCGTTCAGCTCATGCTGTCCAAGTTTGAGGCCGACGGCGCGCTAAACCCGGCCTTCAAGACCGGCTCCTTCCGGCTGGCAGTGAGCTCCATCGCGGCCACCGGCCGCACGGTGAGTCTGGCGCGTGGTGCCTGGGCGGGAGTTCTTGGGTTGGGGTGGGGTGGGGTTGAGAAGACCGGAGGCCAGGGAGTGCTTCTCTTGCAACTCCCTTGGGGCCGTGGGGAGGCGCCAGGGCCCGGGCCATGCCAGCGCCCCTGACCATGATACCATGCCATCCCCCGTCCATCGTCATCTCATTCCCCCTTTCTCGGCGCAGGGCGGCGAGTCGCCCAAGCTTGTGCTGGTACAGACTGACGGGCAGGGACAGCCTGGGCTGGACCTGGCGGGTGCGAGGCGGGGAATGAGCATGGGAGGCGCTTGCTTGCAGGCAGATTGTTTGTGGATGACAAGCACAATGCCATTGCTTGCAAGTCTTGGCCCCTACTAAAACGATCGCCGTCCCTGCCCGCGCCGCCCTCTTCAGGCATCAAGGAGGCGGTCCAGGGCTCTGATATTAGGACCCTGGTGATGCACACAGGGCGGCTGGAGGATCTGGTGCAGTCCCAGGCAGCGCTCAGCGTATGCAGCGGGCACGAGACGGGGGCAGGGCCCATCCCAAAGTGAGCTGGGGGGTGCAGCGGAAAGGGCGGTCTGACGTCGGAGGGGGGCCATTGATGGCCGCCTGACGGGGTGCGGGCTGCGTGTCGAACCAGGACCTGGCAGGGCCTGGGAGGGTGGCTTGCTCGCACTCGTGATTTCCTCATTCGTACCCCTATCCCCCAAAATACGTCAGCGCGTTTGTCGTGGATGCTGTTGAGGAGGTGCTGGACGTCGATCTGCCCAAGCCCTGGAAGGAGGTCACCCTCCTGGCATCCGAGGCGGGGTTGCAAACGACCCAGGCTTCCAGGAATTGGCAGCAGCTGCTGGCTTCAGAGTGACTTCTCTGTATCCAAAGGTCCTGGCCGGCACATCGAGTGGATTGAATGGCAGATTTTTCCTTTACAGGCTGCAGTGCGTCAGCATGCATTGTGTGTGTCAGTCGTCAACGTGTAAGAGGTGATGAGTAATCAAGGGCTGCTCCTGTGTGCACCTCCTGTGGTCAGAGGGGCCGAGCAGAAGGGTGGGGATGGCGAGATCAGGGCGGGGGAATGCTGTAGAGGACGCGCCAAGTGGCAGGCCCGCTGGCGCGCGACAGTCAGGAGGATGCCACGCCGAGGATGGGGCCCCGGATTCTCCGTGCCAGTTGAAGATCCTTTGGCACTGCGTTGCAAGAGGGGAGGAGGTGGTTGGGACAGAGGGATGGTATACAGTGCCGCCCAGGGCGACTGAATTGGGTCAACGGGGGGAAGAGCACCAATGAACACGCGGATCCATGTGTGATGCTCGCATCACACATCGTTGGGTCCCCACAACTCACTGATCGTGACACGCTTCGCATGGATGGCACAGAGGTTGGTGTCCTCCAGGAGATGCACGATGAAGTCCTCGGATGCTTCTTGGAGCGCGAGGAGCGCCTCAGCCGTCCATCGGAACGGCTCGGGGCTCATCTCATTGGAGATCTCCCTTGTCTGTACAGGCCCAGGATGAATGGTGTTTAGACAGCGGTAGTCAACAATCACTAAAGGTTGCACAGCAGTAGGTTGTGCATGGAGTGCTGGGAACCGTGTCATTAAACAAGCAAAGCTCGTGCAGACACCCCACAGGGAGTCAAGGTCACAAAAACACACCAGACGGGCAAAAGGGAGCTTGGGGATGAGCATGTCTGTGGTCCTCTGAAACTTCCGGATCTCTCTCAAGGCTACGGTCCCTGGCCGATAGCGATGAGGTCGCTCTGCAGGTGCAGGGAAGCGGATCTTTGTCAGCAGCGCCCCAGTTTGGTGGATGGGTGCTCACCACATAACACAAATGCGCGGTCTACACCCCAGCCCACCTCCTCCCTGGTGCCTTACTTATTTCGTAGCCATGTGGTACTGACTTTCCAGCGGCCTTGGAAGGGGATTTGGCAGCCTTTCCGAATCGCTTTGGTGGTGACTGTTGCAATACAGGGGGGGAATGGATGAGAGGGGCATGCGGTGCCTTCGAAGACAGGGAAACGTGCGGATGATCTCCGAGTTCCCACCTTCTGCTTTTGCTTGGTTCGGGCCATTGGCGTCCAGACCCTGAGAGGCTCTGCGTACGTCCGTCACCCGGTGCAGCTGTCGGACATTGCACGGCCCTCACTGGTCAGAGACAGCGCGCAGAGAGAGCGGAGCCAGGTTCCTGTGAACAGTAATATGTGTAAACAATCCCTGCAGCTTCCCAGGATGGGGTGTCGCGGCCCGATGGACCTCGCCCACTCGATGCAAGACGCTTGTCGACCCCGTGACGCGGATGCTGGGCGGGCACGGCGAGTGATCGTCGTTTGAAACCTGTCCGACAGAGCACAGATCCACACACCGGCAACGCACTATCTCGCGACACGAAGAGGTAAAATACTGTAACATCTTCGTTCATGTCATCTTAGAGATCACTACAGTACGTGCCATACCCAGGAGCAAAGGAGAGAGGCTGCAAGTCACACGCCCTCACTTCCATGGTGGCCTCCTTGAAGTATTCTGACCGCGAGACATGCCTGTATCCTAGCGTCCTGAAAAGAGAGAGGGAGGCGACATTGGCCTCACCAATCTTGGCTCGGAACGTTTGCACACCCTGCAGGGAGGTGCATTGGATACTGGAGTATCATCATGTGCAAAGAGCAAGACTGACACCCTTTGTCCGTCAGTGCAGTCCTAGATGGGGCTGGCAGTCTGCGGCACCCACCACATACCAGCTTGTCAGCAGCGTACGCCATAAACATGCCCAACGCCTCTCGCGCCAGGCCATGCCTCCGGCTCCCTTTCTCCGCGACCATCACCTTCAATTGGACAAAGGGGGGTTAGCTTGCAGTCAAGGCCAAAGGGTGAGGGGTTTCATTGTCTGGATCACCTGGACTAAACACAAGGAGGACGTGCAAGAGCCATACCATGGAGCCTTGCCTACCTCAATCTCTGCGGCATTTGGATCATCATGGTCATTCCAGAACAGGTTTACGTCACCAGCCATGCCTGTGTGAGATTGCGATTTATCATCGAACTGTACGGGAATCCGCAGCCATTTGGTGTGCGACCAGTGTTACAGGGACACGGCACAGACGCCAGTCTCACCTCCCCCGTGGTTTCCACACCCTGGTGTGTCCGGCCTTGCCTTGTCCAGAATGATGAAAGTGCACTCTATGGTGGTTTGACGATGTGACTGGGGTCATGCCCTTTAACCGAAGTCAGGCAGCACCCAGACTGATGTTCTCTCCGGAATACTGCAGCCCAAGATCCAGGACCAGCAATCTTTGGCAAGACACTGCATGGTCAGAGTACTCCAGACACCTACTTTGCTCATCCTCGCACCAGCTCTGCTGCATCTCATACTCCTCTTCCAGGGTCAGGGGCTCTGAGGCGGTAGCTTCCTGCAATGCAGGACTTGCCTGCGGAATGGAGAAGGCTTCACATGAGACCCAGGGCCTCAAGCCACCTGCAATACCAGGAGGATCCTGCATATGTTTTAAGTCATGGGGGTCCACTCACCATCCAGGCATGGTAAGGAAGCACATGCTCCCTCCTGTAGGGCACGAGGATCGACTTGTGCCCCTCTATAGTCAGGTTTTGATTGGCCTTCATCGCTTGCTGCTGGTGATCGACGGCCCTGCACCCGACGCAGGAACACACTATGCAAGCATTCCGGATTCTGGAAAGTGAGTCAGCCTGCAGCGATCTGGGCTACTTATGGCAGATTTTTGCGGATCTTTATTTGTGTTTCGACACCGCGCAGAATTCGTTGCGGAAAGCCCCATACTCTAGGGCTCGCCTGCAACCCCTTCCGAGTGAAGACGTGCTGCGCGTGCTCGCAGCGCGCAACATGAAAATCCATGCCGCGACAGCTCGTGGGAGCCCTGGCTCCCTCGCCCTGCAGGCATACCCAAATCAGTTGGAAAAAGTACAATCGCAGAATGACCAATAATAATGTGCGCGATCGCCACCTGACGTGTGTGCGCCCTGCTGTGACCTGACTAGCGGTCCCTGCTCCCCGCCAACCCACGACGAAGTCCCGACCTCGGACCCCTGTCCTGGGGCGCGCTGCGCCATGGACCCCGAAAGTGACAATGAGATGGACCTGGCCTTGGCCCACCTGGCAGCGGAGGGCGAAGGCCACCGCCTGTCGGTGCTGAACCCCAGGTACTCGATGCAGGGGGCAGGGGTGGTTGGAAGGGGTCACTGTGCAGTTCCGGAGCTGGTGGGGCGGCACGCATGCGACCTTTCGTCTGGAGCCTACACATGATTACAGCAGGCACCAAGGTGCTGCTTCCCATCTTGACGGTCCCGTGGGAGGGTGATTACTGCCCTGGTCTTCAACAGGACCTCGTATTTCCCTGCCGACGGCCAGGGACCACCTCTTGCTGGCCAGCCCAGCTTCGAACACCCATCTATCCCTCCACTTGCCACCCTGCCCCTCACCACCACCCCCAACACAGGAACCTGGCGAGCCTGTTTGGCACGGACCGCGGGAGCGGGGGCGCCCCCGCCCCCGCCCGCCCGCCGGCCGCGCCTGCGCCGGCGCCAGCCTGGACGACCAGTTCGACCTGCGCCAGCTGGCGGTGTGCGTGCGCATCCGCCCCCCCATCACCGCCGGCGCGCCGCGCTGGGACAGCGAGAACTGCATCCACGCCACCTCGCGCCACGGCCTGGCAATCGCGCCGCCGCCCGGCTCGGCGGCCTACGCGGCGGGCGACCGCGGCCAGACCTACGCCTTCTCCGCCGTGTTTGACGAGCACACCAGCCAGGCCGACTATTACGCGGCCACCACCGACGCACTGGTGCGTGACTGCCTCTCCGACCCCGCCCACTCCAGCCTGATCATGGCCTACGGCATCACCGCCGCGGGGAAGACCTTCACGCTGGAGGGCAGCCGCCGCGCCCCCGGCCTGGTCCCGCGCGCGCTGGAGGCGCTGTTCGCGGGGCGGGACGCGCGCGGCGCCGCGCTGCGCGTCGTGCTCTCCTACTTTGAGATCTACAACGAGACCATCCACGACCTGCTGGATGAGGCGGGGGCGGCGGCGCCGGGCGCCCGGCCCAGCCTGCGCCTGAAGGAGGACGCCGAGGGGCGGGTGTTCGTGGCGGGGCTGTCCCAGGCCGAGGCGGCCAGCGCGGAGCACGCGCTGTGCCTGCTGCGCAGGGGCGCGCGCCAGCGCGCGCGTGCCGAGACGGGGCTAAACTACGCCTCCTCCCGCTCCCACTCCGTTTTCCAGGTGAGGGAGGCCTTGGCTTGTGTGTGTCCGTGTGTATTCATGGGGGGGGGGGGTTGAGAAGATGAGTGGAGGTGGTGTGGGGACGAGGTAGGGAGTGACTCCGGGGGCGTGCGGAACAAGAGGTGCATCTTTTGTGCAGGCGAAGCACTTGAGCACCAGATAAGACCTTGCGACCCTAACAAACTCTGTCCTCCGTCATGCACAGATCACGCTGTACCCGCCCGCGCGGCTGGGGGAGCCGGCCAGGAACGACCCCGGCGAGCGGCTGGGGACCATGTCCTTTGTCGACCTGGCCGGCTCGGAGCGCGCGCAGCGCACCGGCAACGTCGGGCTGCGCCTCAAGTGGGTGACGGGTGGGGAGGCCGGGTTTGTGGAGAGAGATGGATACCCCATAGGTGGAGGTGGTTGTCTCCCCAGGCGCCAGCACTCATGTCGTTTGCCTTCCACCACCCTCGCCGCTCACCCGGTTGCTCGGTCCTCAATGCTGAGACGCATCCCCAAACCCTGCCACCGCACAGAGAAAGCGTGGCCATCAACTCCTCCCTCATGACCCTGGGCCGCTGCCTGGAGGCCCTGCGCTGGAACCAGCAGCACCGGGAGGGCCCCTTGCGTGTACTGCCATACCGCGAGAGCAAGGTCACCCACCTCTTCCGCGACGCGCTGCACGGCTGGGGGCAGGTGGTCCTGTCCGTGAACGTCTCTCCCTGCGCCAAGGACTACGACGAGACCACCCACGTCCTGCGGGTGAGTGCTGAGGGTTGCGGTGGTGCCCGGGGAAGAGCACAGTGGCTGGAGGGAAGGGGTATGGGGGGGTAGGCGTGCTACTGGCGCAGAGTGGGCCTGACTTTGCAGGCCGATGGAAAAGCGGGATGCAGTGCATCCTGCGTCGACCACTTCAGATGGCACGTTGTCACACTCCATCAAGCCAGCCCCCCACCTGCCCCTCCCCCCCAAACACCCTTCCAGTACGCCGCCACGGCCTCCCAGATCGGCACGTTGCGCGCGGTGGATGCGCCGCGGCGCGTGGTCAAGGCCGTGACCCCCGCCGTCGTGGCCCGGGCCAAGAGGAAAGCGGCGCTGCCTGCCGAGGCCCGCGGGTGGGTGGCGGCCTGTCTCGGTCTTGTTGAGGGATGGACGCTCACGCTCGTTTGGGGAGAGTGGAGGGGTACGTCGTGCCGAAAGCCTGCGACCGACCTGCGGTCTCCGTTGCAGCATCACTTCGATCAAATCCGCCACCCTCCTACGCGGTCAATCAACACGCAGGGCCGGGAAGAAGAGGGACAAGGGCGATCCAGAGGCAGCGCTGCAGGCGGCAGACGCGCAGGCGGCAGGAAAGGGCGCCCAGGCGGCATCCCATATCGCAAAGCCCCGCCCCACCACCTCTCCCCTCGAGGACGAGAGGGCACCAGCCTCGCCCCTGTCCGACCGAGTCCAGTCAGCTCTTGAAAATGGCACTCCGCTGAGCGCGGACCAGCAGGGCGAGTGGGCGACCCCTGGCTCCGGGGCCGAAGAGGAGGAGGTGGGGGCCCTGCGTGCTCACGTCGACCTCCTGCTGAAGGAGGTGAGATGGGGGGGAGTGGATATCTGGAAGTGGCGCCAGCCCTGGTGATGTACCGCGAAGAAGACCCAGGCGGGAAGTGCCTCCTCTTTTGGACTCAGCGGACACACCCCCCCGCTGCAACCTCCACCAGCCAGGCCCGCCCCTCCCATGGCTCAACCTCCTCTCCGAATCTGCTCCCGCAGCTCAAGGATGCCGAAGAAAGGGCGGCGAGGATGGAGTTCGAGGTCAGGGCGGAGGTGGCCGCGGAGATGGGGGCGCTGATGGAGGAGATGGAGCGCAACTACTCTGCCCGCCTGGCCGCCGAGGCCGGGCGCGGCGCCGAGGCGGGGCCCCGCAGCGGTGACGCCGGCGCGGGGCTGTCTGCGCAGCTGGCCGACGCATGCAGCACGGCGGCGGGCCTCCGCGCCAAGCTGGCAGAGGCATGCGCTGCGCTGGAAGAGACTCGCCCCGAGCTGGCAGAGGCGCGCGCCGAGCTCGAAGCGCGAGAAATGGAGCTGGAGGGGTGCCGGGCAGAGCTTCATGACGCGCGAGATCAGCTCTCGCAGAAGGCGGAGCAGCTGTCGAGTGCAGAGGCGGCGCTGGCCTCCGAGCGTTCTCGTTTTCGAGCAGAGCTGGTCGCCGCGGAAGCAAGCCTCGGGGCGGTCCAAGCCGAGCTGGCTGAGGAAAGCGCCGCCCGGGAGGCACTGCAGCGCCAGCTGGCAGAAGAAAGCGCCGCCCAGGAGCGGCGCCGGCAGGAAGAGCTGGAGCAGGCCGGGGTGAATCGCGCCATGGAGGTGGAGATGCTGGAGGCGCAGGTGCAGCGCGCGCGGCGGGAGCAGGCGGCGCTCACTGTGCGCCTGGAGGGCGCCCTCTCCGCGCTGGCCAGCCTGGGTTCCCCAACCCGGCCCCTCGCCGCCACGCTGGCCGCGGTGAGCAGTATGTTTGAGGGGGACTCGATCGCTGGGGAGGGGCGTTCCTCCATGTACGGGGGTTGGAGAGGATGTAGGCGAGCGGACCTCAAGGGCGGTCGATCCACGAGTGCATGCGACCATGGTGAGGGCAGCCGGCTCCCAGACACACACGCCTGGTCGTGGCGTAGGTGCCGCCCTCCCTCCCCCAAACCGCCCCCCCCTACCCCTGCAGGCCGGCGCCGGCGGCGGGCAAGAGCGGGGCCCGGGCGGCACGCCGCACGACGTGGCACTGGCCAGGGCACGCGCGGCCTGCGGGCCCCGGGCCCCGGAGGCTGCGGCCTCGCCCGAGGCGACGGCGGGGAGCGCGGGGGCCAGCCGCTTCGCGCAGGAGGCCGCGGTGGGGGCCTCCGGCTCCCCCGGGCCCGCCACGCAGGAGACGGTGGGGACGGGGGGCCAGGGCGCGGCGCGGCAAACCCCGGAGCAGGCCCCTGCGCGGCCGGTGCCGGGGTCGGGCGCGCTGCGCCCCAGCCGGCCATCCACGGCGGAGGAGGCGGCGGCGGCGGGCGCGGCTGTGCAGGAGGGCCGGGCCCAGAGGCGGCGCACCATGGCCAGGAAGAAGAGGGGGCCCAGAGCCGGGGCGCGGGGCGCAGCGTCGCCTCGCGAGTCAGAGCGAGGGCCTCCGGCTGTGACCCCGGCTGCGGAGGGGTCCAGCCAGGTCCAGGGCAGTGCCCGGGAGGCTCTGGAGGCCAGGGAGGAGCCTGCCGAGGCCACCGACAAGATTGACGAGACCACCAACCAGGCTGCCGATCCAGGCGATGGGGCTCCTGCGTCCGCCGCTGGCCCGAGCGGCAGAGGGACAGGGCGTGATGCCGCCCCGCCTGCGGCGCCGGGGGAGGGCAGGGCGGCGAGGCGGGGCAGGCGCCAGACTCGGGCCGCAGTTCTGGCCGCTCCGAGACCGCCCGAGGAGGAGGAGGTGCCCGAGGAGCTGGCAGCACAAGGATCCTCGCCCAGACCAGCTGAGCAGGCCGGCAGGGGGAGGAGGAAGGGGCGGCAGGGCGTGACCTTCGCACTCGACGTCGACCTGGAGGCGGCGGAGGCCAACTCTGCTCCTGCGGCGGCTGCCAGGGGCAAAGTTGCCGGTGAGGCTCTGGACAGCACAGCCCGCGGCCCCGGGGCGCGGGTGCTGGCCGACCTGACCAACATTGTCGCCGGGCCCAGCACAAGCCCAGTGGGCGGCGCTGTGGCCGCCAAGGAGCTCCCAGGTGAGGTGGTGTGGCCCCCTCGTGGAGTAGTGCTCCCCTCCCTCTGATCTGCTCATGCGCATTGGATGTGTTTCTGGGGTATGCAATCCTCCGGTGACAGAGCATCAGCCACCAGCCTGATCTTCATCTCACATCCTGCTCTCCAACATTAAATCAGCGCCCACGTCGCCGGCCAAGCGCCGGGGTCGCAAGAGGCTGCTCCCGCCCCAGCCCCTCGACGCGGAGCTGGCGGAGGCCCTGGGAGACTGGGGCGGCGGCGCCAAGGCGCCAAGCTCGATGCACGGCTCCCGCACCCAGGCCGTTGCCGCGGCTGAGCCATCGCGGAGGCTGACGCGGCGGTTTGTTGCCGCGCAGCAGCTTCACGGCCGGTAGACCGACTACACAGTGCTCTGACTCACTCAAGTATAACCCTGACTCAGACCTTGGGGTCTCTTAAACTTGTGACGCCAAGGTAGAAGAACTGGGTTTCGCGGGGCAAGGTCTTGCAGGTTGTTTGGCCTGGGCGTTAGGAGGGCTGGAGACTTCCGGCCCCGCCCTGCGCTGCAGCAGCCTCCAGAAGCAGACAGACATGGACGACCACCTCCCTCGCTCAGCCCCCTTGCGCCGCTGTGGGGGCACCCCCATCCCTGATCCCCCCAAGCCCAGCCGCCCGGCGGACGGGGAGCACGATTCCGCTCCAGTCCAGGTCAGGGCCATGCTGCGCCCGCGCCGACAGCAGGCTGTTGAACACGAGGTCGGCGATGGGGACGGGGCAGGAGGCGTCGCGCGCCAATGTCCGCACGTGCCCGATGTCCTTGAGCGCCAGGTCTAGCACAAAGCCTCCCTGGGAGGAAGGGAAGATGATGTGGGTAAGGGTGGTGTTGGGGTGTATGGAGGAGACGGCTCGACCAGGCTATGCCGCAAGCATGCATGGGACTTGCGTGGGCTCACCTGGGATCCATAGTTGCCCCTGACAATGTGGGCGGCATACTTGGGCGCGATGACAGAGCTGATGAGGGAGTGGACGTGGAGCAGGTCGTCGGTGCCGACGCCCAGACGCTCGCCTGGTGATGCAAATGTGGCAGTGAGGGGTGAATGTGGAGGGTGGTGCATCGGCGGAATGAGGCGGCAGTGAGTCCCTGGCCGCAAGGTTGGATGCTCCAGCGCTACCCCAGCGTCTGCAAGGTAGTCATACCCACCAACCCAAATTCCGCGCACCCAGGGTGAGGAACTCGGCAGCCAGCTCGATCTGGGCCCCGATGAGGAAGCTGCACGCAGGTGGCATGGCAGAGGAGGGATTACTGTCTGAACCCTTGTGATTGTCCAGAATCTGTGACTGCAGTGCCCAGTACAACTTCACCGACTTACTTCCCGGTGAGCTTCGCGGCGTTGCTCAAGCCTGGGTCGTCCCCCAGGTTCCTGACGGCTACCCCAGCAAAGGTGGAGACCAAGGGCACCAGCCGCTCCCGCAGCTCGGCCCTGCCCCCGGCCAGGAGGGCCGTCAGCTTCCCGGCGGCTGCCACGTCGGGACGCCCAAACACCGTGCAGGCGAGGAAGGTCACGCCCCGGGCAGCGCCCTGGTTTGCAAGTCTCCTGGAGGTCTCCGGAAGAATGGTACTGCAGTCAATGTAGGCGGCTGGCTGGCACTCCCCTGTGCGTCCCTCCAGCCAGGCGAGGAAGAGCTGAGGGTTGGGAGCAGCATAGTCAGGAGTCATGGGTTGCATGAACTTGGCCGTTGCAATCCAAGAGATCCATCTTCGGTTCAACGTGGTGATACAAGTCATGGCATCGACGCCCGGGTCTCACCTCCTCGGCAGAGGCATCGTTGCTGGAGACGCTGAAGACCACTCGACAGTCGGCCAGATCGTGGATGCTCCGAGCCACCTGGGCCCCAAGCTCTTGCAGGGGAGTTGTCTTGCTCGATGTGCGATTGAAAACTTGCAGGAAGTCCTGATACCCCGGGATGCCCTTCAAAAGGCCCTCGTGCAAGTTGCTCGCCATCCCTACATGGGCACCGCAGGTGTCGGAGCACTGGCGCACGAGATCAAGTGGTGAGCACACCCACCATAACCTCGCAGCCTCTCCGTCTCCCTTATGTAACACTCAAATCCATGAGCATCAAGTAGCACTGCATGTCTCACCGGCTCCCATGCCACCGAGGCCGATCCAGCCAACAGAAGTCATTGCGGAGACGGAGTGTGACCGTTCGCTACTGCATCGATGTACTTGCGTGCGTGCTCTCGGGAAGACGAGATCAATAAGAGTAAGGTAAATACACGCCAAAGGTGCCTTGGGGCTGCTCAGTAGCCCTGGGCGATGAGATTTCATTTCCTTCAGCCTTGATTCTCTGAAGCGCGGCCGGATTTAGGGTCTCGAAAACATTGCTTTCGCAAACTCGCTCGCTTGACCCTATCTGGCTTAGCTTATTTTAAATGACCCCTCAATCCCAAAGAAACTGCTGTATATAAAGCTCAATATATAGCCAATAGCACCCTTGGGCTAGCCTGCGTTGGTGTTGCCGCTCAACCCCTTGAGCCAGCTCTGCCGTATCGCCTCCAGAGCGCGAGCCACATTCTCGTCTACACCGCGACGTGCTCCTGAGGATGGTACATCAATTGACAAATTATATAGCTGTAGTAACTGAGAGAAATCACTGTGTGCAACATGAGTAAAATCCGATCCGGTGCAACGCCCTGTCCGGAAGACACCACACTGTGGACTGCTTCAATACTGCCGACCATGGCATGCCCGGAGACTTGCCTTTCTGCGGGGCCAGGCCCGACTTCCCTTTGCTGGCTGCACCAGCCAGTCTTCCAGGGAGCACGGAGGCACGAGCGCTGGAGGCTCGATTCTTTGGGCCCTTCTTGACCGTACCTCTTGAAACCTGCATGGAGGCTCATCGACTTCTGGGTTTGAAGGTCTGACCATGTCATCCCCACCGATACCATCCCCTCTAAATTGGATCATGTGGCACACAGCGCAGCATGTCCCAGGCTCCACCCCAAGACGCACCCTCTTCATGGCCAGCTTGACTGACATCAGCTCCGAGGCCGAGTCTCCCCACACACCCGCCGCCAGCAGGGAAGCCGCTCGGTAGCTGAGCTCGCTGTCCATCGCCATGAGGGCACGGGCAATGTGGGCCACGGAGCACTCCTCCGCGTGCCCTGCCTCCTCGTACAGGGCTTCCTCGAGGGCGTTGAAGTACTCTATGCGCTCGCAGAGGAACTGGTCACGCACCGACTCGGCGAACTCGCCTTGTGGTGGGGTTGGGGAAGGTGGCAGGGAATTGCTTGTGGGGCGGCACCGTGGCATGCCAGCTGGTCAGACAGCGTGGCATCCTGGACACATTGCTACTGCTTCCATCAACCCTTTCACCACCCACTCACCCTGGTTGAACTCCCGGTCCTCCTCGAAGATGGTGGCCCACTGCACGCTGGGGCCGGGCTGGTCCTCATCCAGGGCCTGCATGAGCTCATCAAAGCGCTGCAGGGTCTTGCCCCCTGGCAGCCCCACCCTGAAGTAGGCATGCAGGGCCACCCTCAGGTCCTCCTGAGGAGTGCGTGAGGAAGAGGGGTGCAGGGTTTTGGTAGCTGTGTGAGATGCTCCGAGTTCATACCATCCATGGCATTCCAGGGGGGAGCAGTATTGGTGGCGAAGCGACTGGAGTGTGCATGCCCAGATGCAGGTGTTGGGCATGGAGAAATGATACTACAGTTCACTGAGATCACCGCATCAATGACCGACCATCCTCTGGCCATTGCAACATCATGGCTTGGAGAGTATTCTCCCTTTCCCCACCACCTACTTTCTTCAAAGTACCCGTCGCGGCACCCTGGGCTCGGTCCAGAGACTCCAGCAATTCCTTCAGGCTGTCCTGGAGTTGCAGCTGGGCAAAGTAGACGTCCTCCTTCACCTCACCCTTGAAGGTGGGCAGGGGCAAGACGAGGGGAAGGGTCGTTGTCTAACAACCATTGGCCGTCGTCAGAGCATGGCTCCCAACCCGTCGGCGGTGGCCCTCACCATGAGTATCTTCAGGAAGAGCTCGCAGTCGGCGTCCCACTGATACTTCCACAGGCCGTAGAGGAAGCTGTAAGCAAGCTGCCATGGGTGTGTAATGCAGGGATGGTTTATGCTGGGCATCTTGGAAGCCATGTCAGTCGTTCCAGCCCAGGAGAGTAAGGAAGGACGAGATTGCGCCTTGGAAACCGGCGGGGCCTGGCGGCTGAGCGGCCAGCCCTGGGCGCCAGCTCACCTCTGTGACCGCAGTCATGATGCCCATCCTCTTCTGGAACATGGTGAACAGAAACTCCACCAGCTCCGGCGCCTTCCCCACTCGCACAGCTGCAGGGGAGGGCGGCAGGGAGAGAAGTGTAGCAGGGATAGTGTTGCGCTGCATCCAAACGTAGTCACTTCCCTTTGCATTTTCATGATACATATACAAACGCTGCAGATGAGCATGGTCTGTGAGTGGACCCTGAGCCTCACTACAGGCAGCGACAGACTGATTATCTTTGCCTCGGCGACTTCCCCTCTCACCTGGGTCCTGCACTCGAAGGGCCCACACCTCCTTGACAAGTTTCTCCGTCTCCCGCTTGGACATGTTCTTGTTCCGAACCTGAGGGAGATTGCCAGGTGCATATTGGCTGGGCCCCAGTGTATTCACAGCGCAGTAGACTCGTCACACTTTTGCTGATGCTGGAAATCTTGAATGGGTAGGGGCACATCTCATCCATGCCAGCCCTCTTTGCTGGAGGGCCGACACCCCTTGCCAGCTTTCACTTCCCTCCCCGACAAGGTGCACCTTGCCGGTGACTCGGAAGAGGCGCGGGACATCGTTGGACTGCCCCATGCCAATCAGGTGCGTCGCCCAAGCTTCCTCAGGCTGCGCAGCCAGGACCTCGACGAAGTCCTGGATGGGATGCTTCTTCTCGCTCATCTCCTCCCGCTTCTGCTTCGCAATGTCCCTCTGTGTTGGAGGAGGAATGGAGTATGAGGAGTCAGTATTGGTGGACCATGGGTTGGAAGGAGGGGACCTTGAGCTCGCAGTTTTGCACTACCTGTCTCCAATGGGAGTCTCCGGCGTTAGGATGATCACTCAAGGTAGATTTGCTGGACACCACACAAGTCTTCAAGACACCTCAAAAGAGCGCATCCTTCCCTGTACATCACGAGCCGGCCACTCACCTTGAGTTCTGCCTGGCGCTGGGCCTCCAGTTGGGCAGCCTGGGCAGCGCACACAGCGTGGAGATTCACATGTGCCTGGTGCAGCGCCGCATACCTCCGGGCCGTGGACTGCGTGCTGCACAGGATGGCACCCTCCACCTCCTCGGCAGTGAGCCCCTGGGGCGGAGGAATATTGGTAGAGGAGGGGGTCGGTTGACGTCGCAACTGCCCGATGCACCCATGCCAAGGCCCCTTCTTTTGAAGGCAGTGCAACAGCGGTCTGGTCATGGCACCTTTTGGCCATGCTGAATTGAGCTCGTTCCCCAACACCACGGCCAGCCCCGCACCCGGTGCTCCAGCAGGCCGTACAGCTCCGGCGGCAGCGAGACCCCAGCCGCCGTGCTCGCGGTGAAGAAGTCGGCTGCCAGGGGGTATCGCGGGCTGGGCAGGGCGCCCCAGCCGGCGTCCCCGCCCCAGGCCAGCTCGTGGTGCGCCTCCAGGAAAGTGAGGATGGATGGGCCAGCCCCGGCCTCCAGCACTGCCCTCAGGTCCGCAAAGTCCGGCAGATCGGGCAGCGTGTGCAGACTCCCACAGGTGCCGTCCCCGGCCGCAGGCAGGCCCCCCAGGAGCCAGCGCGCCAGGTCGGCGGTGGGGAGGCCGGCAGGGGCGGTCTTCAACGCGCTCCAGAGCAGGCGCTCTGTGCAGTGGATGGAAGGCAAGCAGCAGGGCTGAACTGCCTTGTTGGTATGTACTAGGACTGAAGCATGCAGGTCTGGTAAACTCTTGCGAGCAACACCAGGACCACCAGCCAAAGATAGTGCTAGGTAATGGTCATCAGCTGACAGTAGGACACAATCCGCTCCAACAATCACCTTGCTCCGCATCGTCCCGGCTCTGAAACAAAAGGGGGGGCGGACGAGGCGTGCAGGAGCGCAGTGCATCCTGGGCGTCCTCCCTCTCTGCCTCGGCGGTCTCCAGCCCGCTCCTCAGGAGCGACAGCTCCTCGGCACCGGCCTCCGCCTCTGCCAGCCTCCTGAGGGCGTCCAGCGTCTCCTGCCGGGATGCCGCCAGCCGGCGCTGCCAGGTCTTCCTTTCCTCCTCCACCTCGGAGGCCGTCGGGCAGAAACTGGCTGTGCCGGGTTCACCGGGCCGGATGAGTGGGTGCCTGTGGAAGACGGCCTGTGAAGGCGAACCCAGACACGCCAAAGACAGGCACAGGCACTCCGATGTCAGCCAGGAGCAGGGCAAGCCCCAGTTTCCAAACCACCCACCTTCGGCGTGCGCTGCGTCTGGAGTGGGGGTAACCTTGCCCAAAGCCTCTGTGGAATCCCCTGCGGTGGCGGAGAGTGATTGAACGGTCTCCCGGGATGCATGTGATGTGAGGCTGTCCACTCTTGGAGAGGCAGTGCCAGCTGGAGCCCCAGGTCCTGCCTCCAAAGCTCACTCCACTATCCGCAGCAGACAGTGCCGTGCAACCAGACTCAGTCCTCCTCCAAGAATGTCATCATCTGGCACCTTTAAGCAAGACAGGTACATCCAGTCTCTCTGACAAGGTTGCTGCAGACCTCTGGCCTGCCAGGGGTCCGGCCAGCCCAGCCTGTGACGAGGAGGACTCGCAGGGTATGTTCACGCTCCGAGCGTCACATGGACCGTCCCAGTACAATACAATGCCCCTCCAGACTCAAGGTAAACCATGTGGCCTGTCAGGGCACGCAATTCTCACGTCCCAGGACACCCATCGTGCCCACCTTCTGCTCCTCGAGCATCGCCTGTACCTGGCGCAGCTGGGCGCGCAGGGAGATGGCCTCCATCTCCGCGCCTCGGGCCCGGGTGGCCTGGTCGTGGCAGTGGGCCTGAATCTCCAGTAGCACCCCCGTGTAGCAGGAGGCAGCCGTCGACCACAGGCCCGCCAGGTGGTGGGCGAGGGCGGGTGACCAGGCCTCCAACTGGAGGGTGGGAGGGCGGGGAGGAGGCCTTGTGGCGATGTGCCATGCACAAAACAATGCATTGAGTGGCAAATACTGGGAGGCAATCAGGTGACAGAGTCGGATCCAGTCAACATGCCTTGCTCCGCCTCCCCCCTCCTCCCCATCTCCCGCACTGACCAGTCCCACAGCTTGGAAGGCTGCCTGAGCCAGAATACTGGCAGCCGCCTGCGCCGAAGACACAAGGAAGTCGATCTGCGAGTCGCAAACCCTGATGCCGTGGGTGGCATTGAAGTGGGCGAGCTCAGCCTGTTGGTTGAGTATGTGGATGAGTGCTGACGATTGCCTATCAATCCAACTTCATAGGAGCACAGCCACATACATCTAGGTGTACCCAGGCCCGAGGTGCAGACTAACGCCCTGGACACAACGAATCTCAACACACCCCCATCCACTGACACATATCCAGTCGTGTAGTAGGTCGAGATTTCGGCGGGATGGGGGGCCCGCGGGCCCTTTACCCTGATGGTGAAGGAGGGCGGCGTCGATGGCGGCCAGCTCCGCGCACTCGCTCTCCGTGGGGGACGGGCAGTCCCTCATGTCTTCTGATCTGAATGGTCCTGGTCGAATGATCCTGATACGACCGTCATCACAGCTTTATCATTGTTCCTCATGTCGTGAGGTCCCCTGCCACGCCACAGTCGAGGTGTGGCAGGCGTGGTCAAGAACGCTGTAGAGGCTGCAGAGACGAAACCCATGTGATTCACTTACCCACATCTTGAGTTCTGATTCAGTCTAATATCTACGCGTTGAGGGCCTACTCTTGAATGAGAAAACTTTGTACACTCGTATCCGAGCGAGCTGTGTGTAAGATCGCCGACACCTCTCCAGTCAAATCACGTAAACTCCGCGCCGAGTGAATGGTTGGGAAAGCTCCCCCGATTCTTCTTCATGCACCTGGAGAGCCCCATGCGCCATGCCGACGCTTGACATAGATTTGGAGCATTGTACACACAATAAGATCACACATACCATCGGAAGGCCTTTGCTTCTTCGACATCTTGCGTAGCCGGTGCTCGACGATCCGTCGCAATGTTGGCTTTTAATTCACTCGGTTCGTTGACAGTTAGGAACTCTGTAGCCCTTGCAGCGAGCACATACCCTTGGCATACAGGTAATGAGGGAATATAAGGCTGCATACCGGGCTTGCATCTTCAGGATGTCTGATTTTCCTGGCAGCTCTGGGCGTGATGACCATGGTGCCAGTGCATCAACTCCAGCCTAGTTCAAATGACCCTCATTTGCTCCCAGTTTCTGGAAATACTGGAAGGCGTGCACTTGGGCATGCACGTCTTCATGGCAGAGGCCGCCTGCGGGCATCTGCTGCTGAGACAGAGGTTGCGCAGACGGCGGAGGCTCCTCTGCACGTCACCGTGCGACCCCCCCTTCCCAAGCTCCCTGAGAGAGAGCTGGAGTTCCACTCCGCACCCGAGGGCGTGAGTGGCTGGCTGAACCAGGCTCGGCTGGCCTTTGCCCTGCCATGGCGACAGATCTCCGATGGATCTGTCATGGCGTTCACAGTGAGTTTTGGAAAGGGAGTGAGGGGGAAGGACATGCTGAGGAGCATCTTGATGGGACGTTTGATGAGATTAGCCACTCAGCATGCAGTTCTCCCTCGCTCCCGACCATGCAGCCCCATGCCACCTTCCCACACCCATCTGCAGCTGTCTGGAGCGTTGCCAGATGTCCCACAGGGACGCTTCTCATCGGCCATGTCGATGCCGCTGCTGACAGAAGCCCTGAAGAAGGCGGCTGCTGATCCGCGGATTCGTGGCATTGCGGTGAAGATCGATCCCCTGTCCATCGGTTGGGCCAAACTCCAGGTAGGGCACTAGAGGGCAGGCAATGGGAGGCTTGAGGGAGTTGTATCTCTGTGCTGGGATTGTGTAGGTGGGTCTGTGAGCAGGATTGTGGAGCAGGGCAAGGTTTCTGAAAGTTGACAAAGACTTGCTTTGGCGAAAGCATAAATCTCTATCATGCCAGGCTCTTTGATTCCCTGCCCCTCCTTGTGTCTGGCCAGAAACCGTCATCACCTTAAGCCAGCGTTTCAAGGCCTCCTGTCCCACTGCCACCCTGTAGGAGCTGCGGCGTCACATCGACTACTTCAGGGAGTCTGGCAAGTTCAGCCTGGCCTACATGGAGCGCGCGGGCGAGAAGGAGTACTACTTGGCATCCGCCTTTGAGGAGATCTATGCGCCCCCCACCGCCTCGCTGGGCCTGCGTGGCTTCTCTGTTGGGGGCAGCTTCCTCAGGGGAGTCCTGGACAAGGTGTGGCGAGTGTTCCCGCCCTGTTCATAGCAGGCATGGACATGGGATCTGAAATCTATCAAGAAAATTATGCTGGCACTTTCAGCTGCGGTGTCTCAGCTTCCAAGTGTTGCCGTCGATACATTGGGTAGAGCTGCGTGTACTCCACACGACAGCATTTTCAAGCGCTGTGAGTTGGAGTGTGGACCATTCTCATCCCCTCCCTCCCTGCAATCACCGCCTCGTAGATTGGGGTCGAGCCGGAAATCAAGCGCATCGGCAAGTACAAGTCGGCGGGCGACCAGCTCCTGCGCACAGACATGTCGGGTGAGGCCGAAACCGGAAGAGCTGTGACATGCTGTCTGTCAGGGTGTGGGCCATCGAGGCATGCTGTTGTCCATCCCTCTCCAAGTCACCTAACCTGTTTATGTCGTTTGCAAGATCAACCCCCCATCAAACAAAGGCCTAGCTCCTGTCAAATCCATCCTCAGATTCACAGCGGGAGCAGCTCTCGGCGCTGCTTGACGACATCTACGCCGGCTTCAGCGCCGACGTGGCGAGCTCTCGCGGCAAGACCGAGGCTGAGGTGAGCTGGTGCAAGGGAAAGGGGGGGAAGTGTTACCTCTGCTGCATGTGGTAGACTTGCAGGGGTGAAGGTGTGCTTCCCGCCCAGTCTGTAATTGGCGTTGCCTCAGCCTGGGATTGTTTCATTGAATAAAAATTACCCACTCAACCAGGTGCGGGAGATGCTGGATGCGGGCTACCACCAGGCCGAGGAATATGCAGCGCAAGGCTGGATCACTGGCCTCAAGTACGAGGACGAAGTGGAGGAGCTGCTCAAGCAGCGCACGGGCGGCAAGGAGGACAGGGTGCTGCGCGCGCCGCTTCGTCGTGTGGCGGCGGTGGGCAATTCGGTGCTGCGGAAGCTGGCCAGCAGGCAGGTGATTGCCGTGGTGCGGACCGCGGGTGCCATCAATGGAGGAGGTGGGGGGGGCCTCCCCTCCACTGGCTCTGCCATCACCGCGCCAGACGTCATCCGCCAGCTGAAAGCGGTCAAGGACAACAAGAAGGTGAGAAGTTGGTGGGGGCCAGGGGTTGTTCTGTCTGAGAAAGGGGTCTGTGCCTGCTGAGGATTTAGCGGTAGGCAGCTAGCACCGCATTCCTCCAGCTTGGTTTGCATTGCTGGACATGGAGTAGTGCCTTATAGGCAGGGGAAAGTAGGAGCGTATTCGGTGGCCCAGTATGATGCTTGTGGTTTGTGAGGGATGAGTGTTGCTCTTGCTCGTGTGGATCAAGTCCCAATGTTCCCCAAGGCCCACCCGCCCCTCTCCATCACTCATCTTGCAGGTGGCGGCCGTCATCCTGCGCATCGACAGCCCCGGCGGCGACGCCCTGGCCTCCGACCTCATGTGGCGGGAGATTCAGCAGCTGGCGGCCAAGAAGCCGGTCATCGCCTCCATGGTGGATGTCGCGGCCTCTGGCGGTGAGACTTGAGGCTGTTGGGTGGTGACCACCTCATGGCTGGACCATGAATGCAGGCAAGGGCTCCCAGGGCTGCCCGTGAACTGGCTCCGACTCATCTTCTGCACATCACCGTACCACACCCTTGTCCACAACCTCACAGGCTACTACATGGCGATGGGCGCCACGCACATCGTGGCCGAGCCTCTGACCATCACCGGCTCCATCGGCGTGGTGACCGGGAAGTTCAGCCTGGAGCGGCTGTTTGAGAGGGTGGGTTTCAACCAGACCACCATCTCCAGGTGGGTCAGAGGGGGGCGGCGTGCAAGGGAGTGGATGGATCGATTTTGGCACCTGCGTTTCAACTTCAGCTGCTCCCAGCACAGGTGGCCGCTTGCCCTGCGCAAACATCGAGAACGAGTGGGTGTCCCTGGCGGCTTCACTTGACACTCTTGCTTCACCATACACACTCCCCCTACCGCAGGGGTCGGTATGCCGAGGCCCTGACGGGAGCGCGGCCCCAGTCCAGCGAGGAGGAGGCCTGGTTCGACGAGGGGGCCTGGATCGCGTACCGCTCCTTTCGCGATCGGGCGGCGGCGAGTCGGGGCGTCTCGCCCGACGACCTGGAGGTGGGCGGGCCTGAGTGGGTGGAATCGTGGCCTGGGGTTTCTGCTGGCGGGGGGTGTTTGGCATACAGCGCCGGGGCAGGACTGATTGTATTGAGTGGCAGGACCCGTGGAGCACAACTCAAGGGTGCAAATCAGACACCCGAGGCGCCCTGCACACACTCCAGCTGCCTGTGCGGCAAAGCAGCCCTCCCGCGAGGTCACCCCTCAATTTCCCCCTTTCCTGCAGGCCGTGGCACAAGGCAGGGTGTGGTCTGGGCGGCAGGCACTGGAGCACGGCCTGGTGGACGTGCTGGGCGGCATCGGGCGGGCGCTCCAGCTGGCCAAGCTGGCCGCCGACATCCCGCTGGCCCAGAACGTGCCCGTCATCGAGTTCTCCAGGGCAAAGGTGGGGCGTTGAGCGGGGGAGGGCAAAGGTGGCGGCGTGGGGCGTGGGTCGGAGCGTTGCAATGCCGAACTGTGGACACCCAGAGGGTGCCAGGGGCGTGGCCAAGGAGCTGGTGACCTCTGCTTCCTGCAGAGCCAACCCGCCTTTATGTCCTAAGCTCCATCTCGCTCCCTATGTCCAACAACCCCCAAAAGGTGAACCCGCTGGCGCTGCTGAGCGGGTCGCGGTCGGCTGCCTGGCTGCCGTTCCTGGCAGCAATGAGCGTTCTTCCCCCGCAGCTGCACTCGGCGTTCCGAAGCCTGTATGGCTCGGTCGCAGCTTCTGCAGGCGGACTCAATGGTGTGTGTGCGCAGTGGGTGGTTGTGTTGCTCCGGCAGAAAGATGCGAGAGGTCAATGTGGCCGTGCACACGAATTGTTGATGGTGCGGGTGCGTGCATCATGCAGACGCCTGGTGTTGAGGCACAGGGATGGTGCCGTGGAAAGGTTGGGAATCTGCTTGCCCGCACTCAATGATTTTAACTCCTGATTCTACCCTCACAGAGATCCAAGCCAGTGATGGTGGCCTCCTCAGCGGGCTGCGGTCCGGGCATCCGCTTGCCCTCTCCCCCATCGTGGAGGTCACCGCCGTCTCCTCCCCTTCGTCCACGGTTGGGCAGGTCTGCGACTGCCGCCAAGAGCCTTTTGGGGGCAAGTGATGCTTGGAGAGGGTAGCAGGGTGACTGCGGCCTTTCCCAATGCAATGCAGCTCCCTTACACATGCTTTACTGCCAACGCACTCTTGAGCTGGACTCCCCAGTTGTGCTGTAAACCACCGATGCAGGTCGAATCCCATCCTTTACTACAAGTTACGCTGCAGTCTGGCACTGCATGGGGAATACAGAGAAAGGATCGGGCCAGTGCAGCAATGCTAATAGGGTCGAAATGCAAACAAGGCACAACTATTAATTGAACTGAGAAGCAATGGTACGATGAAGGTGGCCTCAGGCAATGGGAAGGGCCGCAAGTGTCATTTGCCTCTACTCTAGCTCATGTCAGGTACGACGTTGCAAATTCTGGTACTATTCAATCCCAAAAACACCAAGTGCAGTATTCGTACGGCTGTTGTTCGACCCATCAGGTCGGAGTAATGCTGGTGGTGTTTAAAACGACCGCGGAACGTTCCCGCCTCAATATCTTGAACTTCTCCCACTGGAACCCCTTCTTCTCCGTCGTTCCCATGAGGAAGTCTCTCGCAGCGAGAACACCATTGTAGAAGAGGACAAACTTCCCGAGGATGGACATCTTGAAGTCCAGGGCGCAGACTTGACCCACATCAACGGTCTTGGTCAGCATTTCATACTCCTGCATGGCAAGGCTAGAGGGGCCTGTGTGGGCGATGGAACGGGGCGGGGCAAGAGGACCCTGGGGCTCACCTCTTCCCGCTTCACCACACCCTCGTCCCTGCCCTTGCCCACCCACCCTGTTCTGGGCGGTGAACTGGATGTCTTGGATGCGGATGGCGGTGGAGATCGATGCGTAGAGCAGCTGACCGAGGCCGGATGTTGATTTGGCTTGTCGTGGGGGGGACAGGCCCACGCCAAAGGTGGGCCAGTGCACCTCGGTGGTGGGCGGCACATGGAAGAGATTGATGGGGAACCTGGAGAGCACGCCGCCGTCCTGGAAGCGGACCTGTCATGGGAGGAGGCAGGGGTGGTGAGGTGAATGCCCTGCGCCAGGCCTGGAAAGAGGCGAGCATCAACCCCTGGCACCCTTCCGGAACGTTGCCTCCCCTCCACATGCTGCCTGCGCTCCCGCCAATCCAAACTCTTGCCAACGCCCCCTGGGGCCATAATCACCCGATCGGGGATGGTTGTGGTGAACCCCGTGTCCGCCCACTTGCTGTCAGGCAACCTGCTGGCATTCTGGCCAGCGAGGGGCAGCTTCTCGCCCCTCTTCCTGGGCACAGTCATCGGACGAAAGTACAGTGGCAGAGAGACGCTGGCCCTCACGCATCTGGCGGGACTCTCCAGGTCTGTTTGTAGCAAGGGGTGGCCGGGCTTTGGAGGGGCCTGGACCCAAGCACCTGGGCGCCAGCACCGATCCGCCTGCATGCTGATGGTGCGTGCTCAACCCATGCATGGCATCCCCTGACACTGAAGCCCCCAACTCGTCCTGCCCTCCTCAAAGACCACCACTGGCACCTGGGTCGGACCAGTAGAGCTCAGAGTGGGTGAGGGGCACGGGGTGCGCCTGCCTGTCCCTCTTCCAGCTCAGCACCGCCTTGATCCCACTCGTAACGTCGGCGGCCACTGCTACCACCAGTCCCTCAACCGATTCCCAGTATGGTCTGACCTATGCAGTTGCAGGAGTGGGGTTGCAGGCTGGTCTGGACATGAGCGCCACACGCTGGGCTCCCAGTAGCCAAGCACACGGCAGGCCCAAACATTCCATGCCTGCACGGGCCCTGCTCCCAGCTCACCCCCGACGATGCCGAGTCGTTGTCAAGCACGTCCTGCTTGAAGTTTATCTCACTCAGGTCGCACTTCCCCTTCAAACCTGCCAGCGTGCCGGCTCCATTTGCAGCAAGCTGTTCGTGCACCCAGTCCTCGAGGGCATCCCCTGGATGGATGCCTCCCTGCAGCCACACCCTGACCTGCGTGTGTGTGTGTTGGGGGGTTTGGAGGGGGATGGGAAGGGATGGCAGACGACAGCCAGGACTTGAATGGACCGCAAGAAGCTCAGCTTGGGCACGACAGTATCCTGTCCGCTTGATCCTAGCAGTAAATCCTGTCCACGACCCCTGGTGGCACACTGGCGGCCCCAACCCACCAGCGCAACAGGAAACGCCGGCAGCATGAGCCACTTCCAAGGAGATGAAGGCAGGTCGGTCATGAGGGAAAGGATGGCATCCCCCACCCTGCGATCCAGCAGCTTCCCATCCTTGAATTTGGGGACGGGCATGCCCAGGAGCAGGTCCAGCAGCTTCCTCCCCGCCGGCGCGTCTGGCTTGGTGCGCAGCCCTGCGAGCAGGACGGCCGCCAGTGCCCCCGCGGAAGTCCCGCCGATTGCCCTGCGTGAGGATGCAGACCCGCAGAGTGAGGGCTGGCGTGTGGGATGGTGAGGCATGACCCAGATGGGCTGACGCAGGGGCGCACTTGCATATCAGGTAAAGCGCCTGGAAGAAAGTTGCATGAGCCCTCGCTCTTGCACCAGGGCACTGGGTTACCTGAAGCGTACGCCAGCATGCTCCAGCGCAAAGATGTACCCGACATGGGCCACGCCCAGGAGGGCGCCTCCTGTCATGGATGACGCAGGGAGCCTGAGTGCATGTGATGCTGAGTGTCGAGACCATGGATGTGAGGCATTCCCGCCAGCAGTACGTGCGCCAACTTCGAGGTGGTGCTTGGAATGGGCATGTTCACCAAGGGCAATCAGTGGAGGCCCATCTCAGCCTCCACATGCTTTCCCAACACTCAACCTGCCAGGACGAGGTCCACCCAATCCAGCACTTTCGGCGTAGAGCCACTTTTCTCTGAAGAGTGGGTGGTCGTCTCAGACCGCAGGTCGCTCACGGGCGAGTCAAGGCGGATGGTGTCCAGCAAGGGTCCGACCTCGAACAAGAAATCGTCGACGATAGCCTCAGTACTCCCGTTTTTCAGAAGCTTCCTCCATTTCTTCTCGTAATCCTTGAATTTCTTCTGCCTCTTGATCTCCGCGTAGTTCAACGGCTTAGGGTTAGGTCGGTCGACCAACATGAGGATTAAGTGCTGTCGGCGAGGGTTAAGGTGTCACAAGGGTGCTGCCTGGGATTGGACGGAAAGGTCGGATGGATGGCTTTTCTCGAGTTAGTGTACTGCTGAATCGTTCGAGTCCGTTAAAATAAAAAGGTGCAGTCTCCCTTGCTCGTGTTTGGAATGGTTTCGGATTCCCTGGATGTCGGATGTGAAGGCACATGAAGCCGCCAGTGAGACCTCCCCGGATATGCCGCAATCCCAAGCGCGGTGCGGCGGTGCCACTTCGATCCCATCCTGGTAGCCTGTCCGCAGCAGCTCGTAGTCAGGCTAAAATCCAGCTTTCTCGAATGGATTCTCGACCTCCCCATCAAGCCTTTTCCTCACGGCAGTACTATCATAGTCTAGGCATGGACCATGCTGGAGTTATCAGGCATGACAGCTGGATCACCATTATACTAAACGTTTCCATTCTTACAAACATGGCATGCACATTAGTTGTGTTCGACCTCCGGGTTTGAAAGACGTCGCAGGATGGCAGCTGCTAGAGGGTTTGACCACAGAGGGGGTTAAACTGTGCACATGAGTAGTACAAGCCTTTTCGATGACATGCACGAACAATCTACACAGCAGCAGGGCTTGGCCGCAAAATATGTTGTTGGGGAGGGCAGAGCTTATAACTCAGGACTCAAACATTCACTGAGTTGGTGTCCCCACCACCTGGGCCAAGCGGGCGCTGCCATTGCCCACCCCATTGTTGGGGCCACGTCGGTTGGCCGCAGAAATGTTGGCGCGGTGGTGCTTGTACTTGGCCCAGTCAAAGCGCGGCCTCCCGTTCCCATCGCCCATGAGGAAATCCCGTGCGGCCAGTACCCCATTGTAGAACAGGACATACTTTCCGATGATGGGGAGATTGAAGTCCAGGGCAGACACATTCCCGTCGTCCACGGTCTGAGTCAGCATCTCATACTCCTGGTGGTGGTATGGGGTAGGGGTGATCTGATCTGGCATGAACCGTAGCAGCGACACTTCAGAGGGCGAACCGTCGTGCGAACACAACACAGCCATGCGGCTCCAACCCCATTCCCCCGCTTCCAGCCCCCCCAGCTGCACCTTGTTCTGGGCGATGAACTCGATGTCCTGGATGTGCGTCGCCGTCATGATGGTGGCCCCCAGCAGCTCCAGCAGGTTGGAGGTCTTCTTCTTCTCCCTGGGGGGCGACAGCGCTACCCCAAAGGTGGGACAGCGGACGGGCTCGGTGGGAGGCACGTGAAAGAGGTTGATGGGGAAGCCGGAGAGGACAGCGCCATCCTGGAACCGAACCTGCATGATGGAGAGGATGGCTATGTGCTGGATGTTGGAGTCACCTTGGACAATGCACCCATGGGCAGGGCAGGTGCATGGCTGCGTCTCCTCCTGTCATGTTCATCTCCCAGGCCACATTTGCTCCCATGCACAGAGCAAGGCTGCACCCCACCCGCGCACGACACCCCCACCCCAAGTCACCTGGTCCGGGATTGTGGTGCTGAACCCCATGGTCGCCCACTTGTTGTTCAGCGGCTTGGCCAGCTCGCCAGCGTTGGGAATGGTCTTTCCCTTCTCTGCCGGCACAATCTTGGGCTGGAAGAAGACGGGTATCGAGACGCTGGCCCTCACACACTGTGCTGCCTTCTCGCTGTCTGTCATTGATGAGAGGGAGGGGGAACGGCGATGGGGCTGGAGGGCTGCAGCATCACAACCCCCTGCAGATCTGGGCAGGGCATAGCTCTTCGTTGATGCTCGACACTCCAGATACACAAGTCCCTTGGGGTGATGGTGCGGGCCTCCAGGGCACTCCTCCGTACTCACCTGGATCAGCCCAGTAGAGCTCCGAGTGTGTGACAGGGGAGTTGTTGACCGCCGGGTCCCTCTTCCAGCTCAGGTTGGCCTTGCTCCCGGTCGTCACGTCTGCCGACACGGCCACAACCAGGCCCTCCAGGGGCTGCCCATTGTCAGGCACCTGTTAACGGGGTGGCAGGGTGGTCGGGTTGGGATTTCGGTGAGGATTCGGAGGGACATTCCAGCCACAGAATATTCACGCTCTGAAGGGACAGGGGTTGCAGCCTCACACACAGCGCCCCTCCCCCGCATGGCCCCCTCGGCACACGCCAACCGACCTGCAACGATTTCAGGTGGGACTCGGTGGCAACCTTCTCGAATACAATGTCTTTCAAGTCACACTTGGTCTTCAGGGCGCCGAGCGTGCCGGCGCCCTTCTCCTCCAGCTCCCCATGCACCCACTTCTCCAGCACGGTGCCTGGGTGGATGCCAGCCTTGGCCACGATCCTGGCCTGGGGAGGGGGGTGGGGAGAGCTGCCTGGTTCAGCAAGAGGCGCTGGTGCCTGTCAACGGCAGAAGCATGCACACGATTGTCCCAGCCCATCCAGCACCACGGCTTCCTGCTCCCCCAAGGGAGCAGCACTGTGGTGACGAGGGGCATACCAGCGCCACAGGGAAGAGGGGCAGCAGCAGCCAGTTCAGGGGCGACGTGTAAGTGCCGGTGGCAAGCCCTATGAGGCAGTCCCCGACCGCCTTGTCCAGCCCAGCCCCGTCCTTAAACTTGGGGACTGGCATCTGCAGGAGCGACTCCAGGAGGGCCGTCCCTGCAGGGGCATCCGGCTTGGGGCGCAGCCCGGCGAGTAGGACGGCGGCCAGTGCTCCAGCAGATGTGCCGCCAATCGCCCTACAGTATGGAGGGAAGGACTTGATACTCCATCGCCAAAGGCGAACTAAGGACATGACTATCATTTGATGTGGGCACCTTATTTCTTGGGATTGAAGAACCGTACTGAGTGCTGCATGGATGAGATGGACCACAACCTAGTTCCCTTCCACCTGAAGCGGATGCCTGCATGCTCCAGTGCGTAGATATAGCCAACATGGGCGATCCCCAGCAGGGCTCCACCTATGAGATAGGGCCGGGGGAGAATGTGAGAACTTTGCGAGGGTGCTGGACAGAGCTCAGGCCCCTGATCCACGATATCCCCCTGCCACTCATTTGCAAACCTTCGTGAAGATCCATGCTGACGTGGCACATGCTGGGCACGGTCAAGGTGCCCCACAGACCGCCCACATGCTCATCCATGTCTCACCTGCCAGGACGAGATCCACCCAGTGCAGCACTTTCTCCGAACTGTTGACTTCCGTGGTAGGAGGAGAGGTCGCCTTCGATCGCAGATCACTCACAGGGCTGGCAAGGTCGATCTCGTTCAGCAGGTCCACGACTCCGGCCTGAAAACCTTGAATGATTTTGTCAGTACCGCCGTTCCTCGCATACTCCTGCCACTCCTTCTCCAGCTGCCGATATCTCTCATCGTTCTTGATCACATTATAGTCGAGGGGAAGCCGATGGGAGGTTGCGCTGGCCATGGGTCTCTTGCCTGGTCGATGGGGATTGTAGGTGCGCGGAGAGTACTGAATGGCGATGCGAAACAGCCGAGCTGAGCGCCACATGTACCGAGAGATAACTCTAAGAGAGACGATGAGACGGTAGAAAATCCTTTGTTTCGGTCATTAATGCTGCAACCCTCATACCTCCAGTATCTTCGCGAGCGGGTGTGCAGGTACATGAAGGTGAGCCGAGCGCAGAGGATCCTGTGCGATTCTGCAATGATGCACGCGTTTTCCGTACTCCCGAGCAAGGATGACCATCGGAATGGGCTCGACGCGCAACATCCGGAAGGGCACGTACCATCTGCAGCTAGCGTGAAAGTTCCGGAGCTGGTCAGTACGGCCGACCAACCCACGTGGGTGGAACGGTCATTCGCGCAAGTCTAGGACCGAAAATCCTACCCAAGCTATGACAAGAGCCTGAGATAGCTGGGGGAATACGCACACCAAGATGTACTCTCTACATGAGTTTGACTCTCAGGAAGTAATTGGAACTGTCACATCAATCTTGAGTTGCTGCAGCTGCTTGGCATAGAAGGCCTCGGATAAATATCTGCATCGCTTTGCGCGGCGTACATCTCGAGCCATGCTAAAGCCCACGTTTTCAACAGCAGGTTCCTGCTCTGCATTTGATTCGGTATTGCGTCGTCACCTCTCATCCATTGGCTATCGTCATGCACTATTCCCAGTGACGGAGTGATGCGCATCTGGTTCATATGAACGAGACAGCCGCTAGCCTGACAAGGACACTTGGAATTCGCTTTGAGTCGTGGTTCCCCGTGGTAACAATGCATGCGCCGAGTAAATGCGCCTGTTTCTGGAGACTGCTCCTCAGCCACAAGAGCTTCCTTGGGTGACCTGACGGACAGATCAGCTGCCCGGGGAGAGGTCGTTTTAAATTGAAGTGAACCTCAAATGGGCCAGACGTGTGCTTCAATCCTCACACATGCATCCTGTAGATAACAGTGACATTGCAATGCACTTCCATGTCATTGAGTCGTATTTCCTTGGGCCTCAGTGTGTAAGCACAACGGCTACCGTGCAAGCCAGTCTGCTCCACCGGGTCAGATGCACCGTTTGGGCGGGGCCTGTATCTGCCATCCTTGAGATATGAAGAATTACCCCCTGTACCGACCATCAAGGAAGATTACTACCATCTCAATACATGGTACTAGCATATCATATCATCGCAGCAGATACAAATCACTTGCACAGTGGTAGCAGAGTAGGCCGACATATATTTGCTGGCGATGGACAACCACATACAGTAGTAACTCGGAGCAGATCCAACAACGGTGGGCTGTGCATGTACACACGGCATCCCACAATTGTACTTAAAAGCATCCACAGGCACTAAGAACAGAGAAATTCCAATTGCCGTACGGTTGTGTACAGGCGCAAGCTGTGATGGCTAATTCTTAACACCGAATACTCGCTTAGTCTTCACTTCTGCACGGCGGGCAGTCGCGCAGCTGCCCTCGGCACCCGTCACAAATCCGCACGGTCAAGTCCGATTGGCTTTGGACAGTGCCGCCCTGAGCTCTTTGTAGTGCTTCCAGTTGAAAGCCACCCGTCCCGGGCCGCCCATGAGGAAATCCCGCGCCGCCAGAACGCCGTTGTGGAAGAGGACGTACTTTCCAATTATGGGCAGGTTGAAATCCAGCCCAGGCACGCCGGCAACATTCACCAGCTGGGCCAGCAGTTTGTACTCCTGTGTGCACAGGGTTAAGGGGGGGAAAGGGGGCTTGCGGCAATAGAGGAGCCTTGTGAGGTGTTGAGGCATGAAGCCTCGACAGAGGATGTGATGAGGATCCAGGCTCTCCACGACATGCTCTTGCCCTGACCACACGACATCAGCCCCCTTCCCTCACTCCCACCTTGTTCTGGCTGACAAACTCGTAGTCCTGGATGTTTATTGCCGTGGACGTGGCGGCAGCCAGCAGCTCGCCGAGGTTACTGATGGACGCGGCCCGGCGTGGTTCTGACAGCCCCACCCCAAAGGTCGGGCAGCGGACCTGCTGGCCAGAGGCAACGTGGAATAGGTTGATGGGGAAGGACGAGAGGAGGCCGCCGTCCTGGAATTGTACCTGTGGAATGGAGGGGTGTGATAAAATGGATGTAGGTGACCCAGGCACAGGTCACAGCTTCTGTATGCAGAGGGACGCACCTGGAATGATGGGATCATCCAAGCCAGACGGCCACAGCTACAGAATGCCCCCACAATCCCAGCCTGACTCACCCGGTCAGGGATGGTGGCATCAAACCCCACCTCCGACCACTTGTTGTTGGTGAGGGTGTTTGCTGTCACACCCGCGTCAGGCAGCTTCAGTGCTGGGTCGGCGGGGACGGTGTAGGGCTGGAAGAAAATGGGGATGGAGACGCTGGCGCGCACGCAAGTCGCAGGGCTCTCGCTGTCTGCATGGCATACAAGTTGGAGGGGCGGAGATTGTGAAGATGAGTGCTAGTCAAGATTCTGGGGACGGGTAAATGAGAGATCACTGATGCTTTCAGGCTTGCTTGGAAGCTGCTGGACAGCTCCGACGAGGTACAAGGCACTCGTGGATGGACTGTACTAACCCCTCACACACACCTGGGTCGGTCCAGTAAAGCTCCGAGACCGTCAGGGGCCGGGTAGTTGGATTGAATGGCCTCTCCCAGCTCAGGGCCGCCTTGGTGGCGGTTGTCACGTCAGCTGCCACGGCCACGACTAGGCCCTCCAAGGGACGGTCCGCCACAGACTCGACATCCGGCACCTGCAGAAGGTGGGGTTGAACTCGACGACGTGAGGCCGGCAGGGACCCTGGAAACAGACGCACATGAATGAACCCCAGCCCTCGCAGGGCGATATTTGCGAGCAATTATGGTAGGATGACAAGGCCTGCAGTTCTCCCTTTTCTTTGGACGTGGGAGGGAAGCCCAGCCCGCCCTACCCTCATGCAAGCATGACAACCGTTGCCACCTGTTCAAATTTGATACCACTCAGGTCGCACTTGCCCCTCAGCTGCCCCAGAGTGCCTGCTCTGTGGGAAGCCAGCACTCCATGGACCCAGTCATACAGCGCCTTCCCTGGATGGATGCCGCCGTTCTTCCAGATGCTGGCCTGTTGATGGGACGGCGCTGGGCGTGATTGCAGGTAAACATGAGTGTTGACTGCCAGCATACCACAATGCAAGCTCGAAATGAGGACCCAGGCAGGCCCCTGCCAGAGCATCTCCACTGCGAGGCCCTCAGCATACCAGAGCCCAAGGAAAGAGGGGGAGGCGGAACCAGGTGGACCAGGAGATCTTCGTGCCAGTGAGGAGCCCGATCAGGGCATCCCCCAGCGCTTTGTCTGCAGGCGCCCCATCCTTGAGGCTGGGGACTGGGAGGTCCAGGAGCTTGAGCAGGAGGGCCTCACCCGCCGCTGCATCTGGGGATTCACGTAGCCCGGCCAGCAAGACCGCCGCCATGGCCCCAGCGGATGTCCCCGCCAGAGCCCTGCGATGGAGAATCGGGTGGAGGTTGTGCATCACCAAGGGCCCCCCAACACCATGTTAACTTGCTGCCGTGAGCACGCCACCGGGTATAATGACCTTGAATCAGCACTGTCACCAATCCAGACACCGAGTAGGACCTATGTCTGACACCCATCCAACCCTGGAGCTACCTGAATCGGATGCCAGCCCTCTCAAGGGCCAAGATATAGCCGACATGGGCAATGCCCAGGAGCGCGCCTCCTGAGGAGGGTGGGGCGGGCGAGCAGCGTCTGGCGCACAGCGAGGTACTGGGGTGTGTCAATGTAAAAATAGGTCTCTGTTCAGGCAGAGTGAGTGCATGCCCAAGCAAACCCCAGTCGCCAGATCAGGAGGGGCATGCGCCCAGGTTGGAGCGCAGGTCTTGTGGATGCACACCATGTACCTTGCCCCACCTGCCAGCACAAGGTCAACCCATTGAAGAGTGGTCGGGGGATGAGGACCAGCTCCAGAAGCAGGAGAGGACGGGGGCTTCGACCGCAGGTCACTCACGTAGTCCGAGAGCTGGATCTCCGCCAGTATCGGGTCCACCTTCTCCTGGAAATCTTTCGCAATCTTGTCGAGGGAGTTGCTCTCAGCATACCCCTGCCACTTGCGCTCCAGATCGGCCCATTCAGGATCTTCCTTCACCTGGTCCCAGTCTAGGGGTGTCCAGTTGGAGGTCGCGGAGGGGATCACCCGCCTCGCCAGGCGCCGAGTGGAGGGAGGTATGGCATGCGCAACAGGTACTTTGTGCAGAGAACGAGCCGTGATCGCACCAGGAATCATGTTTTCTATCAATCAATGTGATATACGCAGTACGAGCTCATCCAAATGCATCACATTGCAATGCGATGGTACTTGGGCTGGATTCTCTGCCCCTCACGTTGGACCTGCATGAAGCTGCCCGGATTCCTGCGAGACCCCCCAAGATTGACCCTTCCCACCCACGTGACTCTCACTTCAGAATCTTCCACGTTGACAAAATGCTGATCTGACATCTAATAACATTTTCCACTTGGATGTTCAATAAAAAAACTAGTATACATACCTCCACTTTAATGTCCGACAGGTGTGGGTGTAGGCACAAGGCAGTCAGGGGATAGTGCAGTGAGACCGGTAGAGTTGGTCCAGTTCTGGTGCATGCGCGGTGGTTGGGATTTTTAACACGTGCAAATAATGGGGGCCAGGACCATTCCAGACGAAGATTGAATCAGACACAACTCGTCCAAAGCACACACTTCAACCCATCAGAGGGTTGTAGTAGTAGACAAGGATCAACACATGGCCATGTCTGGTGGTCCCCTGCGTCTGGGGCTCACACTGGCCCTTCCCACAAAAAGGTGAGATGTCCTTCAGTATCCTGCTCCCCCGGCCTCGCTCCTGCACTTACAGCGCCTCCTGAGAGTGCTAGGATCTGCCACAGCTCCATCAGTTTGCCGCGCTGTTCCTCATGGATTTGTACACCTCCCAGTCGAACGGTCCTTTGCTGCCGTCCCCTCCGACAAGGAAGTCATAGGCCGCCACCACCCCATTGTAAAACAGCACAAACTTTCCAACGGGGCTGACGTCAAAGTTGAGGGCCGAAATTCCACCAGTGTGCACACTGGCAGTGAGAAGTTTGTACTCCTGCCGAGTGGTTGTTGGTGGACGGCATGAAGAGGGATCACATGCCCACTTGCTGCACACACCAATGACCAAGCCTATAGTGTATCGGGGCAAGTCCCCTACCCCCCCCTCCTTCCCCAAGGCCCCACTTTGTTCTTGGCGACAAACTCAAAGTCGCGTGTCTGGATGCCGGTGGAAAGGAGCGCCGCGGTTGTCTCGATGAGATTCCCAGTACGGCGAGCAGTGCGGGGTGGGGACAGGTTGACGCAGAAGGTGGGGCACCACACGACCTTCTCGCGTGGGACATGGAACAGGTCGACCGGGTGATTGGACAGGAAGCCGCCATCCACGAGCGTGACCTGTGCGGCGGGAGGGGAGGAGGAAGTCCTGGACATAGCTTGCAGGGCAGTAGGGATGGAGGGCTGGGCTGAGAGGAACAGGACGATGCATGGGCTCTCACCGGCATTGGCAGGTGGGCAGGTGGGAGCCTTGGCAATGAGCCTACATGCGTGCAATGGCAGGTCACAGACCTGCCCGAATCTTGCGAGGGGTGGCGCTGCAACAGCCCCATACTGTTCCCACACTCTCTCCCCTGCACACTGCCCTTGATGCTCCGCGCATTCCCAGATGCTCCAAAACTTCACCTGCTCTGGGATGTAGTCCTCGTACCCAATCTCCTTCCACTTTGTGTTTGGCAGGCTGGCGGCCCGCTGCCCGGCGTATGGAATCTTCTCCCCCGGCTGTGCGGGGAACTTCTTTGGGTGGAAGAAGAAGGGGACGGCCATGCTGGCGCGGACGCAGTGCCCCGGGTTCTCTCCATCTGCATGGAGGGAATGCCAAGGGCGTCAACATCTCGTGGAGGGAGGGAAAGATGCAGGGGGGGCAGTGTGCAGCGCTCCGAATGTCTCGGTGTTTCCCATGCTCTCTGAGCTGTCCAATACGCAGCTGCCCCTCAGCCCACAGGTCACGCCAATCCTCGCTTCATCGCACCAGGGTTCGCCATGTAAAGCTCCGTGTGTGTGATGGGAGGCTGGTCGTAGTTCACAGGCCTCTCCCAGCTCAGCACAGCCTTGGTAGAGGTGGTGATGTCGGAGGCCACACAACAGACCAAGCCCTCCACATCCTTCGGCTGCCTTCCATCCTCGGCCTGACAGGGTGATAGGATGATCAGGGTACAGGCTTGCAGAAAAAGGTGATGGGAGCTTCCCAGTTGCAGGCCCATACTCAGAAAAGCATCAGGTCTTGCCGGCTGCTAGTAGAGGCAGACATTCGGCCCCGCAGTGTAATCTGAGCACATCATGTACCTTGAGCCAGTTTATCTTGCTGAGGTCACACTTGGCCTTGAGATCGCTCAGTGTGCCAGCTCCATATGTTTCCATGAGGTTCTTCAGCCAGTCCTCGAAAATCTTGCCGGGATGCAGGCCGCTGTTCTTCAGAGCACTGATCTGTTGTGGGAAAAGAGACGAGGCACGCCACTGGTATGAGCCTCTGTCAGAGTCTTTGAAATCCCGAGCATGTGCAAATTTTCACACCCCATACGGGCAGGCATGGCCCTTCCCCACACAAACTATGATGCAGAACATTTCTGAAGGCCAAGAAACATAGTCTTACCACCGCAAGGGGAAACAGAGGGAGGCTGAAGAAATCAAGGGTCGAAATATCCTTCTCGAGGACGCTGGTGATGGCGGACAACAGGCCCCGCTCCGCCTTACCCCCGTCGTCAAAGGTGGAGGTGGGCATCTCCACCATTAGACGAAGCAGGTCCTCTGCCACTGGGGCATCTGGACTTTTGCGCACAGCGCCCATGATAAAGGCTGCAACCGCTCCGGCAGAAGCACCCCCAATGGCCCTGTAAAGAAAGTGATACTAGGGTCACCCAGGTCCACCACACGTGAGCTGAGTCGATCCGTTGTTCTTTGGGGTTATGCTTCACGGAGGGGTGCGGGAGGAGATGTCATGACATTATGCTGACGCCTGTCGCAGTCCCCATACCTGAACCGGAGACCTGCATCCTCCAGCGCAAGGACATAGCCCACGTGAGCATAGCCCAAAACGCCTCCACCTGTGAGTAGTGCATACGAGTCAGTATGAGTCTGAGGCTATCAATGGTGTTAGGGTGCTGGATTTTGTCATCTGCAGTGGGTACCACTGCCCATGCGTCACGCCCTTGCTGGTGAGCCGGATGTCGGGAGCTGGGGGAAGTCGTATCTGACGGCATGGCAATCCCCGGGGACAAACTCAAAACATACACCAAACACCCACCCACCAGCCCCGTACCGGAGAGAACGAGATCGACCCAATTAATTGTTTCTGATGTTGGCCCAGCTGACTTTGGCAGAGGATCTCTGTTGAGGGACCGGAGATCGCTCACAGGCTTGCGCAGTCGGATTTCGTTGAGGACGGGCTGCACCAGCTTGCGGAACTCTTTGGTGACCTCATCCCATTTGTCGTTCCGGGCAAGGCGCTCCCATTTCTCCTGCCGGTCCTCCCACTCAGCATTCTGCATGAGTACACTGAACTCCAGCGGCTTGAACCTTGCATTATTCTCCCAAGGGTTGGAGTTCCGGAGGGTGGTAGGATTCTGCACCGCCATGTCTCAATGCTGTCGATCGGAGTTACGAGTCTACTTCCGGGAAGGGAGGGCTTTCAAGCAGTTATGGTTTGTGTGGCGGGTGCTGCGCACCTTGCGCTGCTTTTATCCTATGTTGCCGCAACCTTCCTGCGCGTTCTGCGGAGGCACCTGAAGCCGGGCAAAAATCGTATCTGTATCCCAGTATGAGGGCAAGGGAGGAACAGCGTACGTACACGGATGATGACGTCCTGCGAAACCCTCAACAAAGTATGGAGAGCGGGCATGAGTGCTATGACTGGGACCATGCCCGATGGGCATCCGGTCAAGAGTATTCGACAGAACCTAGCCGTGAGCAGGGTCTCCCGACATGCCCGTACTCGGTTCCATGAGTGCGTTATCGAATACTGAGAGCTCCAGAATGAGCATGCAACGCTTCGATACTCAATAGATCGACTGTTTATCTGCCGCACCCCAGCCTGTAAAATCTTTCAAGGACTCGGTCCTGATGAGACCTCCACACACACCATCGCCGAAGATTTCAACATCGCGACATCGCTCCATCTTATTCTTGTCATAAACCACTTGTTACTGAGCTTGCAAATTACATGTGAACTCGTCGCACCTGCGCTTGCTTGCCTTTCGCTCACTAGCCACTGTGATCCAGTCCAACGCGGGGAATCAAGCAGCGGGGGCAATGGCAGAAGACAGCGAAGAGGATGATCTAGAGGCTTTGCTGAGGCAAGAGCTGGAGCGTCCAGCATCCAGTCTTAGCGAGGAGGAGGCAGGGTGCGTCGGGGCGGGTGGCTCGTTCCATGGGCGCTCGGCTGGCGTATGCGCTTGCCGGCATGGATATTCAGCATGCCTCCCCAGCCTCCCGATCCAGGTCGCCGCCCGCCAAGCGGCAATTCACGGGCCAGTCCCCGCGCGCCGGTGCGATGGTGGACCGTGGTCCTCGGATTCATGGCTGCTGCTGCTACCAGGCTCCTCCGCCTACACACCCCTCTTCCCATGCCCCTCCACCTCGATCGCAGATGCCCAGGCCCCGTCGCCCATCTGCCCCCCGCACCCCGGCTACATGGGCGGCCTGTGCATCCGCTGCGGCGGGCTACGCCCCGAGGGCGAGGAGGGGGCGGGCGTGGCGCTGCGCTACATCCATGCCGGCCTGGAGGTCAGCCAGCGCGAGGCGGCGCGCCTGCGCCGTGGCGCGGCCGAGCACGCAGCCGCGCAGCGCAAACTCACCCTGGTCCTGGACCTGGACCACACGCTGCTCAACTCCACGCGCTTCATCGACCTCACCGAGGGCGGTGAGTAGGGAGGGGAGGGGACCAGAAGGTGTGTGTTTGGGGGGGAGGAGCGCAACTCTGCTTGGCGCGATTGCAGGTGGGGCCGGGCTGGAGAAGATGGGCGCTGTGTACCCTACTTCTCTGGCGCCAGTGGCGCAACTGCAGTGCTGCGCTGCGTATGCGCCGGGCTGCGCCTGGTCTTGGATGGCCGCGCCACCACGGTGCCTGGCATGCTCCGCTCACTCTCCGTGTTTTAGGAGAAGGGTCACCTTGTTGCCTCCCTCCTACCACCACTTCCTGGACCGGTGCCTGCAGAGGCAGCGGCCCTGCAGCGCGAGGCGGCCGCCGGGGACGCGGGGCCCCCGCCCAACCTCGTCGCCCTGCCCGCGCTGCAGACCTGGACCCGGCTGCGCCCCGGCGTGCGCGCTTTCCTGGAGCAGGCACACACCATCTGCGAGCTGCACATCTACACCATGGGCGACCGCGCGTACGCGCGGGCCATGGCGGCCGTGCTTGACCCGGAGGGACGGCTGTTCTCCGGCCGCATCATCTCCGCCGTGAGGCAGCGCGAAAGGGGGAGGGGGGGAGAGCTGTGGGGGAAGTGTATGTCTTTTCAGCGTCTTGCCCACACCTCCACAGAGTATGTTTGTTTATGTTGTGACTCGGACAGGGGACTGTACTTGCCGTAGGGCTCAGGCCCTCCTCAAACCGCTAGCCACGCCGCTCCCTGACTCAGCGCATGGACTCCCACCACCACACACTCCCGCCTCGCTTCCCACCTGTCACAGCCAGACAGCACGCAGCGCATGGTCAAGGACCTGGACGTCGTGCTGGGCTCCCCCGAGCACGTCCTGATCCTGGACGACACCGAGGCGGTCTGGCCGCGCCACGGCGGCAACCTGCTGCCCATCGCCCGCTACATCTACTTCCGCGCCTGCGCCGAGCGCTTCGGCATGCCGTGAGTCTGGGGTGTGGAGGAGGAGGTTGGGGTTTCAAGTGGCGGGGTCGGCGGGGTTGCGGGGTAGGGACAGGATGGCTGTGGCGCAAAGGGACCAGCGGGCCATGGGTTCGATGCAGCACACAAGCCGACGGGCTCTCTGCACGAGCCCCTGCCAGGGGTCCCTGCTTTCCTTGGAAACAGCGCCGGGGCTCTGCCATGCGTGGTGGCATCCGGACCATACCTGTCGACCCACCTCGCGACCACTGGTGCCCACCAGGCGCACTTCCTGGATGGAGAGAGGAGGGGATGAGGACCCTGAAGCGGGTCCGTTCCCGGCCCTGCTGCGCACGCTTCGATCCATCCATGCCACATTCTTTGACGATCTGGCTGGTAGGTGCCGTGGTGCAACATGTTGGGCTGGAGGGGAGGGCAGGGCGGTGAATGCGCAAGGACGGTCGAAAAGCCCGAGTGTGGGAAGCCCTGTGGGACGGACCCCTCCCCCCCCCCGGCCTTCAACCCACCGGCAGCTGGGAGGAGCGCAGACGTGCGCCCACTTGTGGCCGCCCGCCGGCGCGGGGTGCTCGCAGGCGTGGGCCTCCTGCTCAGCCGCATCGTCCCCTTGACCAGCCCCGCCCCGGATGCGCACCCCCTGTGGCGCCTGGCGACGGCCTGCGGCGCGACCTGCACGCTGAGCCCCGGGCCACAGGTGACCCATGTGATGGCCCCGGACTGGACACAGAAGGCGGTGTGGGGCCGGGACAGGGGGCTGCAGGTGGTCACCCCGCAGTGGCTCGCCGAGTCAGGTGTGTGCGTGCGTGTGTGTGTGGTTGGGGCGGGCGGGGGGGGAAGCATTGACTGAAACGGAGGTCACCAACGCAGGGATCGCAGCCTGATGCTCATGCAACCCCCTGGCCCTGATCAGGGCACCGCTGCCAGGTCGCTCCCCACTGCACAGCCATGAATGCACGAGTGGCAACAGCGTTCGCGCCCCCCCACCCCCCCTCTGCCCCCTGCATCGATGCAGCGGGGCTGTGGGTGCGCGCCGACGAGTCACGGTTCCAGATCCCCATGCCCGGGGCAGGGGCCGGCGGGGTGGTGGCCCCGGTGCCCGCCCCCCGTAGCGCCGAGGAGGAGCTGGCCGTCGTGGCCGCGGCGGCCGGCGGCGGCCAGACCCCGGACCGGTCCTGATGTCGTGGGCGTCTGACGCCCGGCCATGCTGCCGCATTGAAGCCTTGATTCTCCCCTGCGTCAACCACACCCCCCCCCCCCCCACCCTCGTGCCCCTGCTCATACCCTGATGCCGCCTCCCCCTCCTTGTACGCTGTATGGCCCTCTGCGCCCTCGCCTCCCCCGCGCACATGTACCTCCCCCTGCCCCGGACAAGGTAACACCTGCCCTCCTTCCTCAACACTACGGCACATGCATTCGGTGCTCCACACCCTTCAGGACGCGGGCGGCTGGGCGTCCCGCGCCGCGCCGCCCCGCGCCGCCGCGGCGGCCGCCTTCTCCGCCTCCAGCTCCGCCACCAGCTCGTCTAGCTCGGCGTCGGCGAGGAAGCGGAGGCCCGCGCCTGCCTCCACCACCGCCATCTCCACGTTCTTGGAGCTGGCGTCCACGACCTCGGTCAGCGCGCGCAGCGCGAGCTTGAGCGTGTCGCGCGGGCCCCCCGCCTCGTAGTTCTTCTCCAGGTACTCACGCACGGTCTTGGAGTTGCGGCCAATGGCGTTGGCCTTCCAGGCGGAGTAGGTGCCCGAGGGGTCGGTCTGGTACAGCGCGGGGCGCCCCGCGCCATCAAACCCCACGATCAGGGTGCTGATGCCGAAGGGGCGTACGCCCCCGCTCTGCGTGTACTTTTGCTGGGTGGCCGCAATGTGCCGTGTCATGTGCTCCACGCTGGCCGGCTCGTCCAGGGTCAGCCTGTGTGTGTGTGTGTGAGTGGGGGGGGTGGGGTGAAGGGGGTTGAATGGGATGGGGATGCAGGTGACATGGATTGAGGAGTGCGTTGGGAAGCGGAGAGAATGCAACGCGATCGTGGGTGATTCGCCCTCGGGGAACACAGCCGACGGGGGCCGGTCCTCTTGGACTCAACCATGACCGTCCCCCCACTTCGCCCTATCCGATCCTTGGACCCCTCCAACTTCCCACCACACAAGTAACCGCGGCACCTGTGACTCTGGGCCTCGGTGCGGGCCTTGTTGATGAGCACGCGCGCGTCGGCGGTCAGCCCCGCAAAAGCCAGGCAGATGTGGTCGTCGATCTGCGCGATTTTGCGCACCGTCTGCGACACCTGCAGCTTGGCCACCGCCTTCTTCTCCACGCCCAGCACGATGGTGTCGGTGCCGCGCACGCCCACGGCCAAGGCCCCCTTCCTCACGGCCTCCAGGGCATACTCCACCTGTGATGTTGGTTTGGGGTGGGGAAAGGTGGGACGCCGCTCGGCCTAGGCACTGTCAAGGCACTGTCGTATCTTGGCCAAGGCGGCTACATCACACAGCCCCTCTGCCTGCGTAGCCCCGCACCCTCGGGACACATACGAAATGCTTGCAGCAGGTCAATAAATACAACATCTCCCTGGCTCCCTTACTTGGAAAAGGTGCCCATCGGGGCTGAAGACGGTGATCGCACGGTCGTAGCGCGCCATTCCGGCGTCCTGCTACCCAGCGCTGAACGCGATGCTGGATCTGGATCAAGGAATTGTATGCTGGATACTGAATCGCAATGTGCCGCAGCGCTCCGGATGGGCATGGGCAGGGTGCGGGCTACCCAAATAAAGTGGTGCGTTCCACACTCTCAGTCCAAGCAGGTGACAGCACAGAGCACAGCTGATTACCAGGTACTCCGCTCCTGCAATATTACACCCACAAGCGCACCGGCTGGGGCTGATCACACGGCTTGCAGCAGTGATGAAGGCTGGTTTACGCAAAGCGATCACTGCGGATACTCAGCACCCTGGCGACTGTTCAGCAGCCTCTTATCGCACACAGAGCAAACGCCGTGGTTCAATTGAGTAGAGTTGCGGACACCCCTTCGTGAGATTAGATCGTCTCGATTGTAGGTCACCCATACCTCGAATGCGCGCGAGGCGCGATCTGCAGCACTCCTCCTCAGTGCCACATCTGCCATGCATGTTTGATCGCAATTCATGGGAACCAAGTCCAAAGCGCGAGCCGCCGGTCCCACTCTTCATCCAATGACCCCCACACATACACTCCAGTAAGCAAGGAATATGTGATACTCCAGTGTCCGAGCATGTCCAGCCAGTCGGATGCAGGCCGGGGTTTGGGGCGCCTGCTCCGGGCCCCCGCCACAGTCACCACCCGGCTCTGCCAGGCGGGCATCTTGATCCTCGCGGTGTGGTGGGTCTTTGGCCCCCTGGGAGGTGTGGGCACGACCCCGCGGGACCTGGGTGAGGGCGCGAATGACACGGGTCCCATCTTCAACTGGCACCCCCTGCTCATGCTGCTGGCCTTCCCGGTGCTCATGGGCGAGGCCCTGCTGGCGTACCGCTCCCCTGCCCCCACACTGGACTCCAGGCCGGCCAGGAAGGTCTACCACATCAGCCTGCAGATCTGCGCGCTGGCGCTGGCGCTGCTCGGTCTGACGGCGGCCGTCAGGTCCCACACCCTCAAGCTGCCGCAGCCCATCCCCAACTTTTACTCTGCCCACTCCTTCCTGGGAGGCTTGGTGCTCGCCCTCTTTGCATTCCAGGTGAGAGGTTGTGTGTGTTGAGGGGGCGTTCCTGCTGGGTGGGGTCATGTGCGTGGCGTGACGGGGCTGATGTTACCATCCCCCTGTCCTTCATGTATTCCCATTCTTGGGAGGGGAGCCGGCAGCCCATTGGACATGCGTGTGGTACGCAGTGGCATTCCTGCTCGCGAGAGGCTCTCCCCTCCACCATACCATCCGACCTCTGCCCCTCCCCAAACTCAATCCAAGGTGGCGCTGGGCCTGTGGGCATACGCCTGGCCCAAGCTCTCCCACCCCGCGCGGGTGACATTGGGCCCGGTGCACACCTTCCTCGGCCGCGCCATCCTCGGCCTGGGCCTGGCGGCGGCGGCGGTGGGGCTGCAGGAGAAGGCCACCTTCCTGCAGCTGGGCGCGGGCGCGGGGCCAGCCTCCGCCGCCCTGCGCCTGCCTGCGCTCCTGCAGCTGCTGCTGGCCGCCGTCGCGCTGGGCGTGCTGTGGCACCACGTGGAGCCGGCGCGGCCGGGGCCCGGCGTGGTGAGCCTGGCGGGGGACGGCATCCCGCTCTTCGAGCAGCGCACGCCGCGCAACAGCGCCGACCACTGAAGGAGGGGGGACGATGTATCGATGTCCCTGCGATGTTGCATGTGCACATGCGACATCGCTGTGTGCCCCACACCTCTTTGTGAGACCACCCTGTGTATTTCCCGACACTCTGCCGGGGCTGCATTCATTAAATAAGTGGCCAAGGGCCCCAGGCGCACAGGGTAAAGTGCCAGTGGTGGGGTGTCACAGGAGGAGGGAATGCAAGGTGCCGTCAGGCGCAGCGAGCACACCCCTCCGCCGGCCCATCACTCCTCGTCGTAGTCGTCCTCGTCGTAGTCATCCTCCGTTGGCTCGGGGTCCTGCAGGGCCGTCCCAGCGGGCCCCGCCAGGGACTCTGCAGCCGCAGAGGCTGGCCCCCGATCAGCCCCTGTCCCTTGCGCCGGGTGGGAGCTCCCTCGCTCCGTACCCTCTCCTACGACCAAAGGGGCCTGCTCCACTGTATCCCCGCCGTCGTGAGCTGGCAGGGATGCAGCCTCCTGCTCCGGCCCAGTGGCGGCTGCCTGTTGCAGCCCGGGCGCCTCATCCCCTCCTCCAGTGGTGCCCGGGGCACCAGCCTCGCCGGCCAGGACGGCGGCCTGCCCCGCGCCTGATGCAGGCTTCTTCTGTCGTGGGGCGCGAGGCTTTGCCGGGCCGGCGGTGCGGCCCTCCTCCTTCGCTGCAGGCCTGGGGAGGGGGAGATACGGGGGGTCTGGTGGGAGCGCTGCCTGTACAGTGTTGAGATCCATTCCAGAGAAACCCCGACCATGCCCCATCACCCCATACGTCCGCACTTTGCTCGCTTCTTGGCGCGCGGCGTCGCTGCCTCCACCTCGTCGGTGACGGGCGGGAGGTCTGGGACCTCGGCCACGGCCTCTCGGCAAAAGTCCAGCAAGGGATCCGACTGGACGTGGGCCTTGCTGCAGGCAATGGTGGGAGAACTTTGGTGGTGACTGTGCTGGAAACTCAGGGTGGATTGTGCAGAGGTGGAGGTTGTGGAAATGGTGCAGGAACGACTGGGCGGGAGTTAGTCAGAAGAGGCTCCCAGGGCCTCGTGAGATGAGGTACCAGAGCAGTGGTCTCCCCTAGACAAGCATGGGGGGAGGGTGACACAGCTCCCACCACTCACATGTGGGAGCTATTGAGGATCTTGGCATTGTGCTGCTGTGCTACGGCAATGGACCCCTCCAGCAACTTGCTCAGGAAATCGTCCAGGGCCTTGGCTGCATGGGGTTGTGCATTGGGCTTGCTGTGAGCGCCTCCTCGTCAAATCCTTGTGCGCTAACTGCGACACCCAAACTTCCCTCCTCAGGCCAAATACCCATCGCCCTCGCTCACAGATGAGGATGGGGCTGGCCTTGGCCACCTTGCCCACGTCCTCGTCCGACTGCATCATTTTCTTGATGCGGGCTGTGAACGGCGCATGGTTTCGAAAAAACTTGGACGTCGAGGACAAGGGGCCCTCATCCCCCGTCCCGGCGTCATCCGGCATTGACATGGAGGCAGCGGATGGGCAAGGGCAACAGGTACAGGCTCGTATGGGGGCCCCTCCTGTGGTTCTGAAAATAGCAGCGGCCTCTATGTGCTCTCCTAGGCCCTTTTGTAACCGGTTCAAGCGCACGCATGTATTGCTATCTGGTCAATCCCACTAGCACCCCGAGGAGCGGGTAATATCCTCCATGCCGGGTGGTGTGTGGGTTCGGAGGAAGTTGAACACAGCGCGCGCTCGACCATGTCGACCATGTCGCGAACGATGGCATCGGTTCGGAACGCACCAATCGCACGTATCCTCCATGAGAGATCCCAGAGAAATTTTGCGGGTAACAAATAATACACTGAGATACTCCTCACGTGTATTTGTTGCCGATGTGGGTCCTCTCCAGGCAGCCCTCCCTCTGAGTGACCACAGCCCTCAAACACACGTTCTTCGCTCAGTTCACGCTTCCAGATCGCGGTAGGGATATGTAGACAGACACTGACCACTATTATAAGATGGGCCAGGCTGTCTCTGGCCTCTGGAGGCAGCTTTTCGGGTCAGGAGACTACAAGATCGTCATGGTGCGTGGATACTGTGTGCAGGGGGGGTTTCCCCTCAAGGTCGCATGCCAGCAGGCCGTTACGCTCCCAGTCCCTGGCAGATCCGTCCCACCATGATCCTCGGCAGGTGGGGCTGGACAATGCAGGAAAAACGACCACCCTGTACCACCTGCACATGGGCGAGACGGTGAAAACCCAGCCAACCATAGGGAGCAACGTGAGTGCCAGGGGGGGGCACATGCGGAGCGCGAATGACCAGTCGCGGCATGCCAAGGCTTTGAGGAGTGGTCCAAGCTACATGTACACTGTGCGTCTGCCGTATCTGATGCGAGGTGATCGCGCTCAGTGGATGCCTGCCATGGTACACTTCACCCTCTTTCCAACCCAAATCACAGGTGGAGCAGGTCAAGGTCGACGCCCTGAACTTTGAGGTGATGACAGTTTGGGATTTTTTTACAATGTGAGACTGCATTCCAGACATGTACCTGCATGATGTGGCAACGATGAGCAGTCGAGCATGTGTGGATGTCTGCAAGGAAAGGCCAGCTCAACTTCCCGCGGCGCCCGCCCCTGACACGCCACCCTCGTCACCACATCATCCTTGCCCCTAAAAAACCCTCCACTACACCCTCAACCTCCAGGTGTGGGATCTGGGCGGCCAGGTCTCGCTGCGCCTCAGCTGGGCGGCTTACTACGCCAGCACGGACGCCGTGATCGTCGTGATTGACTCCACTGACCGCGCCCGCATGGGCATCGCCCGCCAGGAGCTGGCAAACATCCTGGCCAGCCCCCAGCTGGCAGGGGCATGCATCCTGGTCTTTGCCAACAAGCAGGCGAGGGGCGGCGGGGGGATGAGAAGATGGTGGTCGCCGGGTGGGGACGACCCATGCGCCGCCGTCCTGCCACATTGTGGTCTGAGTGCAAAGAATTGACTTAACACCCCCCCCACCACCCCACACAGACACTAGCATGAACATGCACCCCACCGCAAACGCTACCATGTGCAGGACTTGCCGGAGGCTATGTCGGTTCAGGAGCTGAGTGAGACGCTGGACCTCGTGAGCATCAAAGACCACAACTGGCATGTGCAGGTGGGCAGCTGCAGAGAAGGTGGGCTGGTGGCCGTGGAAGCTTCCGTCTCCTGCTCTCAACCCTCCCCCTCCCTTGCTTCCCTTGGTCTATACCATTTGATCCACAAAGCCATTTGCTGCATACAAAGGGACCCCAAGCCGTGGAGGCATTCCGTGACCTGCCCACTTCAGCACCTACCCACACTCTCCACATCGCCGCCCTCCCAGGCGCGCAGCTGATGTCTGTAATCAACAAGGACGAGAACAAGACCTTTGGCGCGACCTTCCGCACCCCCGTGGATGACTCCAAGGGCACGCCCCACATTCTGGAGCACTCGGTGCTGTGCGGGTCGGACAAGTACCCCATCAAGGAGCCGTTTGTGGAGCTGATGAAGGGCTCCCTGAACACTTTCCTCAACGCCTTCACCTACCCTGACCGCACCTGCTACCCTGTGGCCTCCGCCAACCTGCGCGACTTCTACAACCTGGTGGACGTCTACCTGGACTCGGTGCTGCACCCCAACTGCGTGAGCGACCCCCAAATCTTCGCGCAAGAGGGCTGGCACTACGAGCTGGAGGGCGAGGCCGAGCCCTTGACGCTCAAGGGCGTGGTGTTCAACGAGATGAAGGGCGTCTACTCCTCCCCGGACTCGGTGAATGCCCGCGTCACCCAGGCCGCCCTTCACCCCGACAGCACCTACGCCAAGGACTCGGGCGGCGACCCCGAGGCCATCCCCACCCTCACCTTTGACGGCTTCAAGGTGCGCTGGGGTTTGGTGGTGGTCGTTGTTTTTTGTGTGTTTGGGATGGTGGGAAAGGGGCATTGAGGGGGGTTAGATAGACGGTGCAAAGGGAACCTGCTGCCTGGGGAAGGAGCAAAGCTGGATGCAGAGGTGAATCACAAACAAGTGTGCGCTCCTGTGGCCGAGGGAATGGGGTGTGCTGATCGGACTATTTTTGACTTGTTGTCTGACAGCAGGAGAAAAAGTACAGCTTGTCCCCCCCCCCCCCTTCCCCCCCCCCCTTTCATCCCTCACGCCCAGGCCAGCTGCGCGGTGTCCGGTGAGGGCCTCAAGGAGGGGCTGCAGTGGATCGCGCGGCATATCAAGGCCCAGAACACCTCCATCTTCCCCTCCCTCCCGTCCTTGACATGATGCAGGGGCTCCAGGGTCGTGCCCCTGGGCCCCCCGCCGTCCCACCCCTGTGCTTGCGGCCCTATGTGGCAGGTTCAAAACACTACACGACAGTTAGGGGTTCCTTTGCAGGACACCAGGTATGTTGATGGTCCAGCGAAACACCGGCCCTAGGCATGGTTGTCAGAAAGGGGAAGGTGAGGTGTGGGGGAGGGGGGAGCACGAGAAGTATACGGTGGCGTGGCCGAGTCAGGCATGTCCAAGCACAAGTAGGGGGGCCGTGTGGGCTATAACACCCCAGGCACGCGCATGAGGACGAAGCTGAGCACCGCGACGAGCATCGCGACGATCCAGCCCAGCGCCGTCTTGGTGCTGCTGGGATGGAGGGTGTGGATGGGGAAGGCACAGTGAGTGAGAGATTGCGCGACGCCGCTGTGATCGCTGGGTGGAGCGAGGATGCGAGGAGCACTGGTCCATTGCCGTTTGTCGCACCATCATCTGTTCTTGGCACCCACGGCCCCTGACTGGGCAGCGCCCAACACACCTGGGGGCAGCTTTGAGCTCCTCGGTCAGCTTCACATACTGCTGAGCCGCGCGGATGCGATCTGCTGCGGCCTGGGCCTGGTCGTGATGAAAGGGAAGACGGCTTGTCATCCTGATCCAGAATGAAGCTGACCCATGTACACATCCACACCGTCGTGCAACAGAAGGGCAGCCTCCATGCCAACCACAGACCTGGACATTGACCAGCAGCTCGGCAACCATCTGCAGGGCCTGGGTGTGCTGCATCAGCACCGTTTCCAGGGAGTCCACCTGCTCCTTCAGCGACTGGCCGCCGGTGGAGGCCTCGACTGCAGGGCTGACGTCCACAGCCGGGTCCTCCTGCATGGTGGGAGGGGTAGCGGTTGAGGCCGGGGGCCCGGAACCGGGGAAAGCGATGCACACATGTTCATGAGGCGCTGTCGACAGGATTTGGCATCCACGGCACACCTTGGCAGGCTCCCCTGGCACTCCCGCCTTGATCTACGGTAGTGGTGGTCGGTGAGGGGGTGAGCGGTTGGGCGCCAGGCGGTCTCCATGCCCCACGCAGTGGTCTCATCGCACCTGCCACTCCTGTTTTTGAGGCTCAGAGGGGCTGGTCTTCTGCACAGACCCCAAAGCCAGGTCAGCGGACGTCTTGTGGAGCAGCATCTCCTCAGTTCCGCTAACCGCGTCATGCCGCTCAGTGCTCGTAATCTGTTCCGTCATTGTGATAAGTAAGTGTGTTTGGCTTCCAATCAAATGCGTAAAGGGGGCAGCAAAACGTCAGGATGGATCGCGGCTGTACGAGAGTGTCCATGTCTCCAACAGCTTTCAGGTTTCAACATCCGGGCCCCCGTCATGTTCATGCTGCGCCTGCTCCCCCAGCTCCTCGACCCCCCCCCTCTCGACAGCATCATCAGCAGATGCACCTGAGGAGGCATCTAGATCCCATGCAATGCAAGCAATCCGGTGGGAGCTCGTCTATGTGCTCTAGTAACGACTCTTAGTCCGTTTATATGCTGTCGGCTGCGGCCTGCTTGATGCATCATAGCCAGGATCACTTCCGTCGCCTGCCTGCTGAGCTGGAGACGGGCCATCGCCGAGAGCAAGGACTCGTGCTTACTATGTTGAATTAAAAAGAAGAGATGGGAAATTCCCAGAGCGGCGCGACGGCCCGTTTCAGTCAAGCAGAGGCTCTGGGAGAGTTGCCAGGAGTCACCTACAAGGACACCCTAGGTGGGATGTGGCTGTGCTCGCCGGGGGCCCCAGGCGACGCCGTCCAAGTCAGCGCATGTTTGATTTAACCGATGTTTCCTGCAAAACTAATCTCACAGGGGGAGGGCGCTTCTTGAAAAGCTCTCTGTGTCTCACAGATGATGGCCAGTCGGTGGTTGCAAAGGTGAGGGTGGTACGGCACGGGAAGCCCGCTCATCGGCTGGAGAAAGGGAGGCGTTGCCTCCACCGCTCCTGGCCCCCACCCCTCCCAGGTGTACCCCAAAGAGTCTGAGGCGACGCTGGTGCGCATGTACGAGGAGCGACTTGCGAGCATCCGGTGCGCAGGCTGCCGCCCTGCGCCCAGCAGGCTCTTGGGAGAGGGCACTGAGCTACTGGTGCAGGACAGGGCTCTGGGCATGCAGTGCCGGGTCAGGGGTGCTGCCGTGCATGCGGCAGCTTCAACCACCCTCCCCACATCCCTCGCTCCTGCCCCAGTACCGCCTTCCTGAGCATCGACTACCCGCATGTGCTGCCGATGCAGCGCATCTACGAGTCCGACAGGTCCGTCTTCCTCGTCCGCCAGTACCTCTTTGCCAACCTGGCGCAGCGCATCTCCACCCGCCCCTTCCTCACGGCCATCGAGAAGGTGCGAGGCACAGCCAGGGGCCATGGCCTGCAGGATTAGGTGTTATCAGCTGAACCCTCCTTCAGCTGAAACACATGGATGCAGGAACCCCTGGCAGCATCTTATTTCCCCCAGTGCCTATACATTGCAGCTCTGGATAGCTCGCCAGCTGATCCAGGCCGTGGCCCAGTCCCACGCCGCGGGTGTGTGCCACGGCGACATCAAATCCGCCAACTTCCTGCTGACCTCCTGGCACTGGGTGTTCCTGGCAGACCACGCGCCCTATAAGCCGGTCTACCTCCCGGCTGACGACCCTGTGCGCGCCGGGGGAGTGAAAGGGGTGATTGGTGGGCCTGCATCGACAACTCCTGAGCAGCGAGGGCGAGGGGAAAACAGCGCGGGTGCACATGCTGAGCATCCGTCCTCCTTTCTGCGAGCTCTCCTCTCGCCCGACCGCAACATTCCACCCCCTCACCCTTTCACTCCTCTGCACAGGCCGACTACTCCCTCTTCTTCGACACGGACGGCAGGCGCACAGCGTGCATCGCACCCGAGCGATTTGTGGACGTGGGCCACGGCAGGCCGCTGCCGCCCACCCCGCCCGCCTGCACCCCTGCCATGGACGTCTTCTCCCTGGGCTGCACGCTGGCCGAGCTCTTTCTGGACGGCCAGGCCCTCTTCACATACTCCAGGGTGGGCTGGTGTGGGGAGGGCAATGTGGAGGCTGGGGTGTGTTCTACAGGAGGAACAGGGCCCTGTTCCCGCTGCTCAGGAGATCCAGCCGGCATCTTACGGGCCATCTTTTTAGATCGAACCTTCCTGGCCCTCATGACTCGTCCCTATTCAGTGGCTGGTCTCATCTCCATATCCACTGGGCTCCTTGTTCCTCTTTCACCGCCGAATACACTCACGACGACATCCCCCCCACCCCCCCCACGCACAAAACGCAGCTGCTGGCGTACCGGGCGGGGTCGTTCGACCCCGGCCCCAGCCTGGACAGGATGCCGCCCGGGGTCCAGGACCTGGTGGCCCACATGCTGCAGCGGGACCCGGCCGCCAGGGCCGGGGCACAGGCCTACCTGGACGGCGAGCTGGGCCGGCGCGCCTTCCCCGCCTGGATGGGCGACGTCGTGCACCCTTTCTTCGCGTCCATGCTGCGCGCGCCGCCGGATGAGCGCGTGGCCTTGGCCTGCGCCGAGCTGCCGGCGGTCCATGCCCAGCTGGCAGGTGGGGTTGGTGGGAAAGAGGTGGGATTGTGGTTGTGTGTAGGGTGCATTGGGGTGTCGATGGCAATGCTTTGGGTGTCCAGGTACCATCGCCAGGGCCATGGCCGCCGCGGGGAGGGGCTTTTCTTTGGGCAATTCGCACATGGAAAGCATCACGAGTGCGAGCTGGGCCTGTGCCTCTCCACACACCCTGTTCTACAGGCAGGGACCTGCCCGACCAGACTCGGGGCGGCCTGAAGCCCTCCCGCAGCAACCCAAACGACCCTGCGCCGGTGCCTGCGCCGGCCCAGCCCGGAAATGCAGGGAGTCGGGGTCCCTTTCCCCCCGATCCCGACTTTGGCTCGGAGGGAGAAGGAGAGAGGCCGGGCCGTGGTGCGCTCCCCGGCCCCAAGGCCCTGCTGGAGGAGGTGCAGAGGGTGGCGGGGCGGCTGGAGCACGGCGGCAGCGCAGGGAATACTGAGGGCAGACAAGGAGGCGATGTGGCGGCTGCCGCGGCAAGCAGCGAGGCGCGGGGCCCGGGGCCCGGAGCCTCCCAGTGCGCCAGCGCGAGCCATCGCCGCCCGGCCCCCGGCGACGCGCCGAGCCCACCGGCCCAGCAGTGGCCCGGGGCCGCGCCGGCCCCCGCCCACCCCGCGCAGACGCTGCTGTGCGTGCTGTGGTGCACGCTGCTGCGCGGCGCGCGCGCGCAGGACGCGCGCCTGACCGCGCTGTGCGCGCTGCGCTCGGCCGCGGCGGCCTGCGGCGACGACGACGTGCGCCTGCAGCGCGCGCTGCCCGCGCTGGTGTCGGCCGCCGCCGAGCACGGCGCCGGGGTCAAAGGCGCGGCCCTGCGCGGCATCGTGGCGCTGCTGGCCGAGGTGCGGCGCGTTCCGGCGGGGGACGCCAGCGTCGTGCTGGAGTACGTCCTGCCCTCGCTGTCGTTGCTGCCCCGCGACCCCGCGCCGGCAGTCCAGGTAGATGGTGGAGAGGGGGAAGGGGGGCGGCCGTGATTCTCTTGGCAGTCGGGTGAGCCGCTTTGGGCAGTCTGGGGTTGGTGAAGGGGCTCACGGCGGTGCTCCCGCCGAAACAGAGTTGTGGCGGGTCATCGAGGAAGGGTGCCAGGACCATGCCTGCTCCCCGCGTGCGGCATGGGCCGTCAGGGGTGCCTCGCACCCCTCCCCCTCGCCACACTTCTCCAACCCTCGCTCTCCTTTCTCCCTCCCTCCAAACCCACCAATCCAAGGTGGAGCATGCCGGCGTGCTGGCCGACCTGGGCCTCGCGGCGCTGGGCCTGCTGGAAAGCGCGGCGGGCCCTCCCCAGGACGCCGCACCCGCCGCGGCCGCGTTGCGCGAGGCCCTGGCCCACGCGGCGGCGGGCGTCCTCGCCGGTTCGGGGGCGCCGGAGGCGCGCGTCGCGCTGCTGCGCACGCTGGGCCCGATGTGCGCCGCGTTGGGCCCCCGCGAGGCCGCCGACGCGCTGCTGCCCCCGCTCCTGCCCCTGCTGGCCGGCGGCGGCGGCGACGCCGGTGCGCGCGCGACGCGCTCGGCCCTGCTGCGCGCGCTGCCCGCGCTGGGGGCCGCGCTGGGGCCCGAGGCCGTCGCGAGCTGCCTCCTCCCCCCTCTGGAGCGCCTGGCGGGCGGCGCCGACCCGGGCGACGCGACCGACGCGCTCTCGGCGCTGGCGGCGCTGACGCAGCGTGGCCTGCTGCGCCGCCGGGCGCTACTGGCCACCGCGCGGCGCGCCTGCGCGCAGGGCTGCCTGCGCGGCCCCGGCGCCGCGGCGCGCGCGGCGGGGGTTGCCTTCCTGGCCGCCGCCGCGCGCCAGCTGTCGCCACCGGAGGCCCACGCCCTGCTCGTGCCGGCCATGGCGCCCTACTTGGCATGCGAGCCCCTGGATGCCAGGGTGGGTGGGAGGGGGGGGTTAGCCCTCACGACATCATTGTTGGTGTCGGGGGGCGACGACAGGGTGCTGCTGCTGTGCCGCAGGCCGGGAGGGTGCTTCAGTCCCCCCATGCAGCGCAGCATCGCCGCATCGCCAACCAGACGGGCTGTCCATTTGGACGCCTGTTCCACCCTCACAATCACCCAACCCGCCCGCCCGCCGCCACATAGGATGTCACGTCCCTGACGCGCGCGCTGCGGGAGGACACCGCGCTCTGCGTGCCGGACGCCGCACGCCCCGGCGCTGGTGCGGCGCCGGCGCGGGCCCTCGTCGGCCGCCCGCCCTCTGCCTCGTCGCTCCGCGCGAGCAGCGGCTCCTTGACGGAGCCGGCGAGAGGAGGAGGCGCGCCTCGCCAGGGCCTCGGCGCGGCGCCGGGCCGGGCGACACCGGGTTCCAGCTCCGCCAGCGACCTGCTGGCCAGCATAGCATCGTCGCTGCACGCGGGCGCATCCCTGCCCGCGCCGCAGCCGCTCTCCGGCTCGGCCGGGTCGCTGCCGCTGCCCTCCGGCGCCGCAGCCAGCTACTGCCTGGCGCTGGACTCCCAGTTCCTGCACCCCGACGCATCCCTCCTCTCCGCCGCGCTGGAGCAGAGCGTGCACAGCGCCGGCGGCAACGGGCACTTCGTGCTGGGCGGCAGCGGCGGCGGGCGATCACACGCGCGCGGCGCCGCCGCCGCGGGGTCGCTGCTGGTCCCGCGCGCGCGGCGCGTGCCGCGCATCTCCGACCCGCTGGCCTCGGCGCTGCACATGGGCAGCGCATCTGCCGCGCAGTCGCCCCTGGTGGCCTACGGCAACGCCATGTATGGTGAGTGGTGGAGGAAAGGGGGGTTGGGAAAGGATGAATGGGGTCTTGTGGCGGGGGCAGAGGCCGAATACCGGGGGCGAAGATCGATCACATCACAGGGTCTGCGCTGTGAGGCAGAGGGACGATCATGCACCGCACCAGGGCCCCAAAGGCCCGATGCCTCTCATGCCTCCTCGCCACCAACGACTATGCGCCCGGCCATCCGCGATGCCCCCCCCCCCCACACCCTTTCTGCAATCGCAGGCCTGGATGATTCGGGGTCCATGGGTCTGCCGGGCACGGCCGAGAGCAGCGGCATCCAGGGCGCCATGCAGGCCGCGCTGACCACCGAGCTGTCGGTGGAGGAGAGCGCGAGCCAGATGGAGGCCTGGGCGCCGCGCGGCGCCCTGGTCGCGCACTTTGCCGAACACCAGGCGTGAGTTTCGGGGGTTGTGTTTTTGGTGGTTTGGAGGGGGCCAAACGAAGTGACTGGCTGGGGTGGCGGGTGGAGTTCCAGGCCTGCATCAGACAGGATCTCAGACAGGGGTGGGTAGTTGAATGATGCATGCAGAGTTTGGGACTTGGAGCAACACCATTGCTGCATGTGGTGGTGCTGTACGGGCCGCCTCCTGTCATGTATTCTCCTTCCGATTGCCGAGATGTTGCCCCTCCCCTCCCTATAATACCCCCTCCCTACCCCCCCCAAAAAACAAATACCGTTCCCAGGGGCGTGAACCAGCTGGCTGTGGCCTCCAGCGGCCTCTTCTTCGTCAGCGCATCCTCGGACAGCACTACAAAGGTGTGGGACGGGCGGCGCCTGGACCGAGACGTCTCCTTCCGCTCTCGCCTCACCTACTCCGGTCAAGGTTGTGAAGGGTGTGGAAAGGATGGAAACTTTCCTTGGAAATGGTAACTTGTGTGGCGTTGTCAGGGTTTCTGTGACCTCCATCAGGCCGCAAGGTGCCACAAGGTAGGCTGCTCGCCGCCCGCCCGCCCCGCGCTGGCAAGAGCATCCTGGGCACGACACTCTTCCTCCCTTTTCTCACCCCGCCAGGTGGCAAGATCAATGCTGCGACCACCCTGCCGGACTCGTCCTCCGTGGTGACAGGGTCAAGCGACGGCAGCGTGCACCTGTGGCGCGTGGACACCGTGGCACGCAGCGGCGGGGAGCGCTTCACCGGGGTCACCGCCCAGCGCCAGGTGGAGGGGGGGGAACAGCGGGAGGAAGGAGGGAACTTTGGAGAATGGGTCTCAGCGGGGAGGGGCTCCAGCCATACCCTGGACACCGTGTCATAGGGAAGGAGACCTGGGCATGCATCAGTGGCCATGTCAGGAGTCCCTGGAACGTGATCGCCTACCTGGCCTCCATGCACAGCCACCCGACGCACAGTCATGGAATCGCCCCGCGCCAGTTCAATTCTCTCCTCTCCAACGTCGACCCCGCAGTGCTCGGGCGAGGCGCTGGGCGAGGCGCTGGCGCTGGCGCCCTGGGGCCACGCGGCGGTGCTCCAGTCCCACGCCCGGCGCGGCCTGTCAGCCTGGGACCTGCGCGCCGCGGAGCACGCCTGGGCGCTGCCCTATGACCCCGCGCAGGTGGGGGGTGGTGCGAACGATGGCGCATTCGCCTGCATGCATGCTTGCATGGGGTGCCATGGAAGGGGCCACCTTGCACATGCTATCAGTGCTTCTCAACCCAGGGCCCCCTTCAACCACTCCCTCGCGCTCCCCTTCTCCCCCCCGGCGTCCAAATCCAGGGTGTGATCTCGTGCTTCGTCACCGACCCGGCCAGCCAGAACTGGGTGGTCACCGGGTCCAGCCGCGGCGTGCTCTGCGTCTGGGACCTGCGCTTCCGCCTGCCCGTGCTGAGCTGGCAGCTGGGCGCCGGTGCGGGGGTGGATGCGATGGCCCTGGCCCTGGCCCCGCTCCCCGGCGAGCGGCGCGGCGCGCGGGGGGCGGCGGCGGCGGCGCCTCGACCGGCGCGCCGCTGCTGGCCGTCGCGGCGGGAGAGGGCGAGGTGGGCCTGTGGGACTGCGGCGAGGCACAGCGCCGGCAGGTGCTGCGCTGCGCGCGCTCCGCCGGCGTGGCCGCGCCGGCCGGCCCGCGCCGCAGCGTGCACGTCGTGACCGGCCCCCGCGCGCGCGGCGCGGGCGCCGCGCCGGAGCCTGGCGCGCGGCCGCTGGGCTGGGGGAGCTGGCGGGAGGGGCGCGGCCCGCCGCCGGGGTCGCGGCCTTGCTGCCCACGCCCAGCGTGATGCTGACAGGGGGCGGGGACCGCGTGATCCGCGCCTGGGACGGCACGGCACCGGAGCGCAGCTACGCGGTGTGTGCGCCGCCGGTGCCGGGGGAGGGCGCGGGCGGGCTGGGCGGCGTGGTGACCCACTCATACGCCGCGCGCGGCGGCGCGGGCGGTGCGAGCGTCGAGGAGCGCGCTGCGCCAGCGCCGGCGCCGGGCGGGTCGCGAGAGGAGCGCATGGCGGCCGCCGTGGCGGCGGAGACGGCCGCCGCCACCTGCCACGCACAGGCCGTCAGCGCGCTGGCGAGGCTGGACCTGCGCCGCGCGGGTGGCGCCGCCAGCCTCCTCCTCTCTGCCTCACGGGACGGGGTCATCAAGGCCTGGCGGTGAGAGGGCTGAGGTCGCAGGAGATTGTGTCATGGCGGTGCCTGCCTGCAGGTGGATTCCTTGTGTGTGCCTGCAGGTGCCCTGACTGTGAAAGAAACATGCGCTGTGACGTCGGAGCGCGGGTGAGGAAGCCGTGGGGGGGCTCATTTACGACATTTGGGCGCGCGGAGGCACTCGTCGATCTGCTCGGGACCCACCGAAACACGGATACATGGGGAGCAGTCCGCTCCAGCACTCCCAATCGGCATCGCACTCTCGCGAATGTGACTGGCCAAGAGCAGCTCGCCGCGCCCCTGACCGCCCCCCTGGGATGTCGGTGTCTTGCCGTGCTTTTACACAGGGGTGGAGCGTGCCTGGGGCATCAGCGCACCGGGCGGGGACGAGGCACGCCCGCCCTTTCGCGGCGCATGCACCCCCATGCACAGATCAGCGGCTCAGACGCAGGCCGGCGGCCTGCCAGGCGGAGCGACCCGACTGTGTGTGGGTCGAGCCAGCCGCAGGGCCCAGCCTGCCCTCCCAGGGCGAGATGGTTGTGACCGGGACCCCGGAGTCCATCGGGCGGCAACTACAGGAGATCCTGAGGCCACCCC